CAATTAATTCACACAGGTGAGAAGCCTTATGAATGCAAACAGTGTGGAAAGTCCTTTAACCAAGCTGGAAATTTGCGGACACATCAATTAATTCACACAGGTGAGAAGCCTTATCACTGCAAACAGTGTGGAAAAGCTTTCAACCGGGTAGAACATTTGAANATGACTGACAAAAGTGCAACCCTCCCCTCACTACTTACTACATGGTATGTTCCATGCCGTAGAAACTTCAGAACATTTCGCTTGTGAACGCAAAATGTTTGAATGTAAATATATCAAATGTGTGAGCTGAAACAGTGTGGGATGTCTACGTTTTATGGCTGAAGTTTGAATATGGAAGTATAAACTTTGAGTATTATTAAAGTTTTGAACATAAAATATCGAAGGGAAAATGCACAGGCTTCCTTCTCCGATGGTCAGCATTGCTGTTGGTCATTTTAATAAAAAGGTTTGTTTTATAGAACGTGAAATCTGACTCTCAAAAACAAATATTTCCTACATTTCCGAATTCTGTTAAAGGCAGGCATGCCATGTCATAATATACATGTAGAAATGTAACCTAGAACCTATAATAAAACACCAAATTAAATGAAAGTAGGTGAAAAGAAAAACTTAATCTGTAAGAAAAATGGAAAACAACATCACAAAAATCTTCATTGAAAAAATCTGGAAAAGATCTGTGACACTACCCTTGAATAGCTTACAAAGAGGTATGACCCTCCCCTTTTTGTGCTCACTTTCACTAATGACCCTCCCCTCTGAGGCCCCAGCCCTCTCCCCCAAGAAAAAAAAACGTACCTTCCCTAACTGTAAAAAAAAAAATAAAATAACAACACCTGACATTCACAAACACATCTTTTACCCATTTGTGTCGTAAATCGAGTTTTGTCCAGTCGTCCTTGAATCCAATCCAACTTCCAATGGTTACTTCCAGGCTTTCTTCCGCGAGAAGACTGGGAGCTACTGAAAGATTGCGCGCTACAACGCGCGCCAGTAGTTTGATTGCCTAACCGAATTTCAGGATCGAGTTATCCTTGAGAAGGTAAGAAGACGTTAAGAATCAGTACCTTGCAGGTAGATTTTATTTTGATGCTAGGGATTCTAACCAAGTAACGGGTGAACTGGTTTTGATAAGCTGTTGTAATTCAACTGTCTCCTCCGATATCGCAGTAACCGGTCGTTTTGCCTCCGAGTTGTTTCGCTGATTATAGCTGTACACATGTATGCTTGAATTTAACTGTATTTACATTGTTTGAAAGCGAAATGTGTTGTTTCCTTGGTCGGTTACGGTCAGCATATCCACTGCATCCTTGGAGGAGTCGAAGGAGGCTATATATCTCCTCTGAACTGGTTATCATAATGAGCTCCTTTCCATTGTATTGGGGTCTGCCAAATCTGCGAGCCAGCGAGCCATGTCGCGAGCCATGGCCATACGAGCCATGCGAGTCATTTGCGTGCCATGCGAGTTATGCGAGTCATTCTGCGAGTATTTTTTTTCTTCGATTCGTTTGGGAGGTCGTCGATCATTTCATCAACAAACATCTCGGGCCCGACTTTCGCTATAAACCGCTCGCCCGCCATCTTGAAAGCAGAGATGACCCCGGGGGCGAGTACAAACGGTACAACCTCGCTGCCAGGGTACTCCCTCTTTCCCTGGGAAATTCATTTTAAATTTAGCTACAAAAGTGCCAAAAATTGAAATATTCCCAGAAAAAATCCTAATCTCGCTTCGGTTGCCAGAACTATTGCTGGTGCGTCAAACATGAAGTATGCATTAAGCATCTGTACAGCATGCCAAGTTTTCGTCATAGTAATGGCTGAGCTGGACAAATTTTTGTCTGTGTTTCATATTTTTGTTATTTGGAGAAAATTTTGTCCATTCAAATCGCTCAAGATCCACAAAAACTGAAAACAATGTGACAAAAATTTATTAAGGTTCAAGACTTAAGTAAAAAAATTTCCTGAGAGAAATGCACCGCTCCACCTCTACTTGAATGGGAACTTGAATGGTATCCATTGACACCTGTCATTCATTGATATCCACATGGAAAAATCATTCAAGAAAAAAGAGAACATTACTTCCAACTCCGTGTATTGGTGTCAAGAATGGTGAGTAAATCATGTAATTTTAACAGGTTCACTCCTTACAAGATTGGAATGACATTAACAACCAAATCCTGACATGGCAATAAGTGAAAAACTAAAAAAACGATCGCAGTTTAGTGTAGTTATTTCTACCTTGTTTGATTATCGCTAAAGAGCTCTTCTCTGCACCTGGAAAATTTTTTTACCAATCAATGGGCTCTCAAAAAATCTTTCTATTTGAGATTCAAATGTGCTCAGGTTTGATATTCACAATGTTTACAAACACTTTCCCTTTAAAAATACCCAACTGAAGGCAACGAAAGTTTTCAGTTCATTGTGAAGCATTTAAAAATAAAATTACAAATAAAATTTGTAGCTATTTTTTTTTTTTCAGCTTGGCTTCTGATTGGGTGATTCAAAAAACATTCTTAGTGATGGTTTGTGTAGTGGCAACCAGAATTTAATATTGCGATATTATTCATCTTGTTCCATTACTCTTGTCCTGGCTCTCATGTGAATATAAATGTACCAAATAAAAGTTCTTAACATTTGTACTGTGGCTCTCCTGGCTCACATGATTCACATGGCTCACCCCTTGGCTTGCATGGCTCGCTGGCTTGCAGATTTCTACAACTTGTTTCCGCTTTGTTTTAAGGTGGCTCAAAACAGTTTTCTGTTTTTTTGAGACTTTTAGAACTAGGTGCGATTTTTCAGGCTTGGAACCGTACTGTTTTGAGGGGCTATGCCATTTTTTAAATTAACTCTCCACTGTACCTTACATTGTGTTTAAGACATAAATTAAGTTTGCTCTGTTCTGTTGTGTAGCAACAAACTTGACCCACTTTTCACCATCAATTGGATCTATCTTAAAAACTAAGCCATTGACCTCATATTGTTTTTTATAGAAATCTTTTTATTACACACAGAAGAAGAAAAGGGAAAATTAGAAAGAATTCTGTGGAATAGATTTTGCTTAAATTAAAAACAATGGAAATTTCAAGATTGGAAAAATTCCACTCCACAGATTTTTTACAATTTCGCACATGCATTCTGCTTTTGCTGTCGAATAATTTTTTGCATTAAAAAAGTGTGGTCACTGGAACAGTTTTTGAGATATTAGCATCGTGGATAAGGAATATTTAGGGCACATTGTATGCGCAAATTAAAATCTAGACTTTGCAAGATCGTACTATGCGCACGCGTGAAGGCAGTCCACTGCTCAGTAAAGTCCGCAATTCCATGCCAATAAACATGAATACCCGTGAATGGTGTTATCTTTTTTGCTGTTGTCGTTAGCAGCATAAGTGGTAGAAGAAGAGTACCATAAATACCCACAGAGGAGGCTGGCCTAGTAAAAAGAACGAAGAAAACTTGAAGAGTAGTTTTTGTAACGTTGCGTAATTAGAACGTTGTATATAACGTCATAAAGCTAATTTGTAATAGTGCTAACCGGACGACTCATGAGAAACTACAATATGCCACTGGGTAAGAAACTTTGAACTATTACTTTTTGAGTCTTTCATTGTACTAATACAAATTTATGTGAACAGATTTTGAACGTTAACTCTCCCACTCCGGTGTTACATATTGGTAAATAAATGGAGATGTTTAAAACCATGGTGAAAAAGTATTCGAGTCAGCGCTAGCGCTACAGTTTTTTCCTTCTGTTTTTAAGATTGGTAGCCGGCGCGATCGTAACATCAACATTGCAATTTTCATTTACGTTCCAGCACAGTGGTTTAAAAGAATGTTTTTTCATTTGAAATTGCCTCAAGGATGGATGTTTTTAAAGGTAAAAATAAGCGATATCACAAACAGCTCACTAAACTTGGCAGAATCAAAGTTTTACTGAGTAGGCCTAGCACCACCATGTTTGTTGTGAGTTTTCCAAACTTTAAATCTTGCACGCCATCTTGTAACCCCTCGGGTGGTTGCGTGATGCCTCGCGGTGAAGTGCGTGTGAGAGCCCAGGCTTCTCACGGAAATTTTACTGTTGTGAGCCACCTTAAATGGAATCTTGCCTGTTTGGCTCCAAAATATAGTTTGTGTGTGTCTTTAATGGTCCTTGGGTTTTAAGTCAATATCAATTGAGAGCGGGTGGAAAACTTGGAACGTGCAATTTGATAACCTAACTGGGCAGAAACAAGTTATCATCAAGCTAAAATTTACGTGGCCAGTCATCTTGACCAGCAAGCAAGGGTCATTTATTCCAGTCCTGCTTTCTTGATATGACATATTACCATGGCAACAGTATGACCTTTTGAAAACACCCCTAATTTCAGTTACAAGTGCTGACAACTCTTAAACTAATTTGGTGATGCACATTTTTAAGGAGTTATAGCTTTTTGACACACCTTAGCATTAAAGATTACTTTCTTAACTCTCTGAACCATTATTTTTATTTTTAAATTTTTATTTCAAATCTGGAATTTGGAACAAGGCTGTGGTCTAAGAAACATTATGAGGAACCCAAACGCTCCAAACCATGAAATCCTGGGTGCCCAGCACTTAAGCTTATCCTTATATGAAAAAAAGTAGGTTTTTCCAGTCGCCCAAAGGCAAAAGTTTGTTCCATGTGGCAGCCAAGCGTCTTAAGAGCACAGCCCTGTGGAAGTACATGTACAGGTACTGTTAAGTGTCTTAAAAGCTGCAGATATCTAATGTTGCAACTTTCTCACTTTCCATTAGATGTACAGAAATGATGGAAATTATGATGGAATGAACTGGTATGATGTCAAAAGTAAAGAAACATGAACCAGTACACCCAAGGGAAAAGACTTATGAATGCAAACAGTGTGGAAAGTGTTTCAACCAAGTAAGAAGTTTGAAGAATCATGTAAGAGTCCAGACTGGTGAGAATCCTTACGAGTGCAAACATTGTGGAAAGTCCTTTAACCAAGCTGGAACTATGTGGAGACATCAATTCGTTCACACAGGTGAGAAGCCTTATGAATGCAAACAATGTGGAAAGTGTTTCAAGGATGTAAAAAGCCTGCAGACACATAAATTAGTTCACACAGGTGAAAAGCCTAATGAATCCAAACAGTGTGGAAAGTCCTTTAACCAAGCTAGAACTTTGCGGACACATCAATTAATTCACACAGGTGAGAAGCCTTCTGAATGCAAACAGTGTGGAAAGTCCTTTAACCACGCTGGAAATTTGCAGAGACATCAATTAATTCACACAGGTGAGAAGCCTTATGAATGCAAACAGTGTGGAAAGTCCTTTAACCAAGCTGGAACTTTGTGGAGACATCAATTAATTCACACAGGTGAGAAGCCTTATGAATGCAAACAGTGTGGAAAGTCCTTTAACCAAGCTGGAAATTTGCGGACACATCAATTAATTCACACAGGTGAGAAGCCTTATCACTGCAAACAGTGTGGAAAAGCTTTCAACCGGGTAGAACATTTGAAGAAACATTTAAGAGTCCACACTGGTGAAAAGCCTTATGAATGCAAAAAGTGTGGAAAGTGTTTCAACAAAACAACAAATTTGAAGAATCATGTAAGAGTCCACACTGGTGAAAAGCCTTATGTATGCAAAAAGTGTGGAAAGTGTTTCAAGCAAGCAGCACATTTGAAGAATCATGTAAGAGTTCACACTGGTGAAAAACCTTACGAATGCAAACAGTGTGGAAAGTGTTTCAACCAAGCAGCAACTTTGAAGAATCATGTAAGAGTCCATACAGGTGAAGAGCCTTTTGAATGCAAACATTGTGGAAAGTCCTTTAACCAAGCTGGAACTTTGCGGAGACATCAGTTAGTTCACACAGGTGAGAAGCCTTATCACTGCAAACAGTGTGGAAAAGCTTTCAACCGGGTAGAACATTTGAAGAAACATTTAAGAGTCCACACTGGTGAAAAGCCTTATGAATGCAAACAGTGTGGAAAGTGTTTCAAGGGAGGAGAAAGTTTGAGGAATCATGTAAAAGTGAAGGGTTCTAATTGTGATATTACAAGTAATACATCTACAGCAACATCCAACTTTCAAGAACCTGAGCTATGTCATGTGGAATGCTGGATTTGTCAAGAGGAATTATGTAGTCACACCCAACTTTTGAAACACTATGATAATCATATGAAATAGAACATTTTAGTTCAGTGTTATTTTCTGTAATCACTGTGAAACCCTGTTTAACAGCAATATCCGGTTCCCTAAATCTGATTGTGGTTATGGAATTTAACGGAAAGGACAAGTTGAGCAAATGCTAGTGACCAAGCTGAAGTCAGATTGTCACAAAGCTGTGAGCAATGTTTCCATTCTTTCAAGTTAGAGAAGTCCTAAAAATAGTTGTGTACTGGTTGTGTTCAAAGTTGTTCAGTTCAGTTCTTGGTCCCTCTGTCCTGGAACCATTGCATGACAGAGAGAGGGCCAGAACTGGACAAGTTTTGGTTTGTTTTATTTTTAGTAGACGTTTTGTTGATGCCTCTCCTTTGGTGCATAATCACATCCCATTTATAAACAAATCTGCTCACAGGTATCCCAACAGCCATACAGGATAATGTTACACACTTAAAAAAACCACAAACCCTAGATCTGGCCTTTGTTATGGAATTTCTGTATGGATTAGAAGTGTGGGGCTCCGCCTATCAAGGCAAATATTTAGATCAGATTGGCACTTTTTCGGCGAGCCTATCGTTTTGGCAATACAAATAAGATCATTTTGATATCTGATGTTATAAAGAATAGGGACAGTGACCTTTCAAAAGAATCACAAATGACACTGGCCATGTATTATATGACTTGCTCTCACCCAAACGTTACAGAGCTCTTAGAGAAAGGGACCATGACTTCATACTCCCTAAAGTAAAAACTGAACGATTCAAACAGGCTTTTGTAAATAGATGTCTTTTTAAATTTATTTCTTAAAATTTTTCTTGTAATACATTTGATACGTTTTTTCTAGTTTAGCTTAGTTTGTTATTGATTGTAAAGTCACACGTATGTTGTGACTGATTTCTTAATAAAGACTTCTACTACTTTCATTGTGTCACAAAAACTTCCTTTCAGTAACATCACACGTGCCCAAGAACATTGAAAACACTTTACTAAGGGTTGTCTTGAAAACAAAGACCCCCTAAGACCCCTAGGAACCCCCTAACACCCCAAAACTTGAAATAAAGACCCGCTCATCTTTTACAATTTTTGAGGGGGAGGGTGGTACTCCTCTCCTCAGTACCCAACAGAAAAATTGGGAGGGGAGAGGGGAGGCCATCCTTGTAATTTTTTTTCTCTGTCAACGGCACTGATTGGAATAGCTAAACCCTGAGCATGCAAGCAAGATAATTTACCTCCCTCTGGTGTTGAACTTTTTTCAGCAATTGATGAAACCATGCACAAGGCATTAAAATGAATTTTGCGAAAATGTATAACCTTGCAAGTTTGTGCACAGTCGAATGTGATTCAGTTACCTTATTGTTACTTATTTTCATGAGGACTTAATTTCACAATTTTCTGACAACATTTACAGATTGAATAATGTGCAAAGATCCAATTTGACTCATCTTTTCTCAGTGAGGCACAATCTTACTTTACATTGCGGGGAAGTGACAAAAAGAAGAGAGTACAAACAGAAGACTCGAACTTTTAATTTAAAACTATGCTGATTATTGCACATGTTAAAAATTACAAGAATGGCCTCCCCTCCCCCTCCCTCAGAAAAAGGTGATTTTTCCAGTGGGGGGTTGATTTTTCCAGGGGTACTTGGGAGAGCATTACCCCCCAAAATACATGTAAAACAATGGGGGTCTTTGTTTTCAAGGTTTGAGGTCTCTTAATCATTTTATTGCACCTTTCCATAACATGCAGACTCTAAAATTTAAAGCTCAATCGACAAAATAAAATTTTGTTTTTCACTACCATTCATCAAATGTTCAGCGGCTCCTCCCAGCTTCCGATTACTGCTGAGCGTGAGGTAATTGAATCAAATTGTTGAACACAGTTCAGACAACATAGTCGGAAGCTGGGAGGAGCCACTGAACATTTGATTGATGGTAGCAAAAAATGCATTTGTCAGTTGAGCTTTGAATTTTAGAGTCCGCATGTTATTGAAAGGCGCAGTAATAACAGAGTTTATATAGTAGCGTTTTGTTGTGTTACAAATAAGATACGGTTCTTGACAGTATTAAAAGGGTTCTTAAATAAGGAAATGTCTGATCAATTCTGCTTGCATTAAGTTGTTTAGTAAGGATTAAGCAGTGGCGTTAATGAGTTGGGTTTTAAACCCTTGGTTTTTACTGTTTCTCTTGGTCAGCTTTTCCATAAAAAAGTTCAATATTTTAGTTTTGCAGGAAATGATTTTCAGATCTTAGGAAACTTAAATATACAGGACGTAGCAGTAAAAATCAAAGGAGTTATATTAAGTGTAAGGCCATTGAGACGAGAAATTGAAGGCTTTCATGCAAAAAGGGCATATGTAGCATTTTGGGTCGATTTTTTTTTTTTGCAGGATCGAGCTAATTTTTGGCAGACTGACTTGTTTTGATATGAAAAGCATCGTTGCATAATTGTTTTTGTTGATTTGTTCTTCATTTTCGAGAAATAACAAAAACCATTTTCCAGAACTGCGAACTGTTACTGTAATTATTTTTTTAATTTAGCACCTGAATTCACAAACACATCTTTTACCCATTTGTGTCGTAAATCAAGTTTTGTCCAGTCGTCCTTGAATCCAATCCAACTTCCAATACAACATCCAATCCTAACTTTCCTCTGCGAAAAGACTGAGAGCTACTGAAGGATTGCGCGCCAGGAGTTTCAATCGCCTAACCAAATTCAGGATGGAGTTTTCCTTGAGAAGGTAAGAAGACGTTAAGAATCAGTACCTTTCAGGTAAATTTGATTTTGATGCTAGGGATTCTAACCAAGTAACAGGTGAACTAGTTTTGATAAGCTGTTGTAACGCGCTTTCGAGTACATGTATTCCAGGGAAAACGGTAACCGGTCGGTTTGCCTCCGAGTTGTTTCGCTGAGCTAATTATAGCTGTACACATTTATGCTTGAATTTAACTGTATTTACATTGTTTGAAAGTGAAATGTGCTGTTTTCTTGATTGGTAACGGTCAGCATATCCACTGCATCTTTGGAGGGAATCGAACCGGTCATCATAATGAGTTCCTTTCCATTGTATTGTCGCTTTGTTTAAAAGGAATCTTGCCTGTTTAGCTCCAAAATATAATTCATGGGTGTCTTTGATAGTCCCTGGGTTTTAAAACAATATCAGTTGCGGTTGGAAAACTTGGAACGTGCGATTTCATAACCTGGTGGCCGCCATGTTTGCATATTATATTTAACCGGGCAGAAACGAGCTATCACCAGGCTAAGATTTATTTGGCCGGTCATCTTGACCAGCAAGCAAGGGTCATTTATTCCAGTCCTGCTTTCTTGATGTATTACATGTTACCATCACAACAGTAAGACCTGTTGAAGCGTCGCAGTCAATCAAACAAAACTGAACCAAAAATCAATCGAACTCAATCGAACCATTGTCTGGTTGGACTTCGATTGGTTCGGTAATCAAACGTAATCAAACTGGAACTTTTCGGTGAGTTCGATTAAGTTCGATTACCAAACCCAATCAGACTCAATCAACACGATTGGTCTGATTTTGTTCTGTAGAAAAATCAAACCGCATACAGAAATTGATAAGCATTCAGTCTCAACAGAATTTGAAGGATCTCACTCTTTAACCGAGTTTTAACTAGTAAGAGGAGCAAGTGTGAGAGATATATTAACAGATTTCAATTAACTAAAATTTTTATTGTTTACAGGGCTCAACATTAACGACAGCCAACTAGCCACAGACTAGTAGAAACTTAGTTCTGGCTAGTAGGTTTTCGATTTCCACTGGCCACTTTGGCTAGTCAACAAAATGAAATTGCCTGAACTAGTTTCTGTCTCCTTCAAGGAAGACAAACACAAAATTTACACTTTTCTCAGAAACAAGGTCAGAAATTCATTGTGGACATATCATAGTACCGGGCATGTGCTGTTTAGCACATATACAAATTTAATTTTGTCTACTTTTCACAGGCTGGTATGTCAACGGGGAACTGAACATGTTACTTTTGTTGAAAGAAATATTTGATAAACAAGACAGCATTTTCTGAAAGCACACATTAATGCTCTTTTTGGTTACAAAATTTTTTTCATGCGCAAAATAGTACGCAACTGCAAAGGGAACATTTCATTTAGCATAACAATACATGGGTGATTTGTTGTTGTATGCATACTTACAAACTTACCACTACAGAAATAATTAGATGAGAAAGATTATATTATTCTACGTAAATGAATGCATTGTTTTAACAAGAAAAATGCTATTTCTCCACAACTTCTATGTTATGCGACCATTATTTCAGCTTTCCACCATGGCACAAGAAAGCCAACAAAGTGCTTCAAAGGTGGCGTGTCATTGCCTGTTATAGGATCACTCCGTGCTTAAATCTGTCCTTGTATGCATCAACTTCATGCATGATGACACATCGATGGCGACAAGGGATCGAGACAAAAAAGCACGTAGGGATCTGAACTATGTTTGGACATAAAACGATACACGTCAACCTCCCCTTTACCAGATCACAAAAATCGAAAGATGTGTAAATTGTTGCAGCAGAAATCTAACTTATAAATTCTGTACTGGTACGCATTAAATATCTCTAGAATGTTGACAGACTGTGTCAAGGACACATCCATCGCAATGTGTGAAAATGCTCAAGCTTTGGCTTAAATTCATGTTTGGATGAAAAGGAATAGATATAAAAAAGTCTTAGCTTGGACTTTAGCATCATTCACTCGTTATATCACTACTGTGACTTTTAGTTAGCCCTCGAAATTGTAACTCCCACCCTTCCCTCCCTTTGGAGGTTTATTGTTGTTGTTCATTAATATAAATAATAAACTGAGGTTCACCTCTCATGACACCCTATCGGTTAAGTCTTGCAGCGACTTCCCCAAGCTTCGTTTTCGCTAATTTAGTGGCGCTATTTAACACTCTTTTATGCCTCTTCTTGTCCAATCCAGCACGTGCTGGCGGAGTCGGCTCGTAGTGCTGGGGAGATAAGTAAGGCTTGAGAACTGTCTACACTCTAGCATGATGCTGACCGGAGGTCAGTTCGTAGTGCCATTTAGAGTTACGCTTCTAGGACACGCAAGCTTTTGGCCTTGCCGATCCAGTGCAGAATTAACCGCTGGGGAGATAAGTTTGGCATTTGGGCATGTAATGGAAGTTCGTCTGTCACGCTGATTGCGGAGCGGTGTTCCCCCCTTTACGCCATAGAACGCGTGTTTATTTCTTGTGTTTGTCAGGGTATTTAAAGCATTACTCCTTAGGAGCTGCAACGTTAATATGAAATTAGCGGGTTCTATGGTTTTCGTTTGTTTCTATTATTCTACAGGCTTTAGTAAAGACTATTTCCCTTCATTTAACAATTCAACCAAGTGAGACTGCTAAGAAATGACATACTAAGTTTAAGATCAAGATGTCACAATTAATCTTCCAGATTTACAAACTTTCACATACTGCATTAGGAACAAAAGCAAGAGTTGTGAAAGTCAAGCACGATCTCCTTCACAGGTAAATCAGAGCAAAACATAACCACTAATCTTTCTCATTGGAATCCATGCGAAAAAGGATGAAGGCTCAACGTCCTTGCGTTGTTCGTGGTGCAATGCACTCCAGATAGTAAAAAGTGGTGCAGTGCGCTCTGGTTAAATGCAATGCATTCTGGTAAAAAGTGATGAATTCAAGAATTTGTCCCCCCTTCTATATATTCTTCTTAAATCCTGATTATGTTGCTGCTCCCTCGCTACACTCGCTCCGCAGCAAAAATGACCACTGCAACTGGATCTTGACGCATGCAACAGTGTACAGTGTGTACAAAATAGTTGTTACTAGTGCTAAAAGTATTCTCATTACTTCAAAGTAGATTTCTTTTAAAACTGCAAGTTGTGTTTACAGAAGCTGCTGCAAAACGCAAGCGATGCAAGCTAGACTTTCGATATTACAACAGTTCATTAAATGTAAAAGGAATAATACTAACGCAAATAGCAAACGAAGTATGTATTGTTTGTGCACATTACTGCATAGGTGTTCAGCTCTACTGCTGGTTTTGGGATATGTGGAATTTGAGCGAAGTAAGTAGAGTATTTTAGTATTTTTATGAATTGGATGATGTTGATGTTTGATCTTGAATCATCTTTGGGGTTAATGATCAGTCACAAACCTTAGACCATATATGGGAAATTTTACCAGATCTTTGTGCATAACAGGCAGTACTTCATGCTAGCAGGAATGAGACTTACACTTCAACTTTTTCTGTCAGTGGCCAAAGCACAGGCACCAGTTCTCATTGTAAATGACCAAGCTGGCTGCGGTCATCGTCAATTACCCTCAAAGCTGGACCCCTTTCTCCTCTTTTCTTCGTGACAATAAATCTATCCCCGACATGGACAGCGAAAGAGCACTTGTGGCAGCCTTTTTCCACAGCTTCCAGATTGGTTTGTTTCACCTCTTCTGCCCTGTCCGACATCTTGTCTGTTGTGCTTGTGTTTGAAATAGNCTAGGAATTCCTAGGAATTCCCAGACTACTGGGAATTTATTTCACAGGGGTAGAAGCCAATAAATAACTGATTTGACCGCAACACTTTGTTTCAAACCAGATGAAACTGGTTTTATGTTCGATTGTTGAAGTGTTCAATTATGTTCAATTGAGTTCGATTATGTTTGATTGTTGAAGTGTTTGATTACCAAGCATTCGATTGCTTTCAATTAGTAAAATTTTTGGGTGAGTTTGATCAAGTTCGATTGCCAAACCCAATCGAACTTAATCAAGCGACTGAGTTTGATTACTGAACGGTCAATTGACTACATTGGGTGAAAACACCCCTAATTTCAGTTACAGGTGCTGACAACTCTTAAACTAGTTTGGTGATGTGCATTTTTAAGATGTTTTAGCTCTTTTTCAACAAGTCTTACTGTTGCAGTGGTACACCTCAACATTAGAGATTACTTTCTTAAGTCTTTTGACTATTATAATTTTTACTTTTAAATCTTTATCTCAAATCTGGAATTTGGATTGGAAGTACATGTAAGTGCCTTCAAAGCTCAAGATATATATCTCATTTTCCATATTTAGATGTACAGAAATGGAGGATTGAATGGAATGAACTAGTATGATGTCAAAACTAAGGAAACAAAAACCAGTACACCCAAGGGAGAAGCCTTACGAATGCAGACAGTGTGGAAAGTTTTTCAACCAAGCAGTACATTTGAAGAATCATGTAAGAGTCCATACGGGTGGAAAGCCTAATGAATGCAAACAATGTGGAAAGTGTTTCAACCAAGTAGGAAGTTTGAAGAATCATGTAAGAGTCCACACTGGTGAGAAGTATTATGAATGCAAACATTGTGGAAAGTCTTTTAACCGAGCTGGAAATTTGCGGACACATCAATTAATTCACACAGGTGGGAAGCCTTATAAGTGCAAACATTGTGGAAAGTCCTTTAACCAAGCTGGAAATTTGCGGAGACATCAATTAGTTCACGCAGGTGAGAAGCCTTATCACTGGAAACGGTGTGGAAAAGCTTTAAACCGGGTAGAACATTTGAAGAAACATTTAAGAGTCCACACTGGTGAAAAGCCTTATGAGTGCAAACAGTGTGGAAAAGCTTTCCACCAAGTGGGAAATTTGAAGAAACATGTAAGAGTCCACACTGGTGAGAAGCCTTATGTATGCAAACAGTGTGGAAAGTGGTTCAAGCAAGCAGCACATTTGAAGAATCATTTAACAGTCCATACTGGTGAAAAGCCTTATAAATGCAAACAGTGTGGAAAGTGTTTCAAGGATGTAAAAAGTTTGCAGGCACATAAATTAGTTCACACAAGTGAGAAGCCTTATGAATGCAAACAGTGTGGCAAGTCCTTTAAGCAAGCTGGAACTTTGCAAAGACATCAATTAGTTCACACAGGTGTGAAGCCATATGAATGCAAACAGTGTGGAAAGTGGTTGAAGCTAGCAGAACATTCAAAGAATCACTTAAGACTCCACACTAGAGGGAAGCCTTATGATTACAAACAGTGTGGAAAATGTTTCAAGCAAGCTGAAAGTTTAAGGAATCATGTAAAAGTGCACTCAAGTGAGAAGCTTTGTGATTGCAAACAGTTTGTGAAGTGTTTTTGCCAGGAGGGACATTTAGTGACACTTGAGAAAGGCTCCACAGATGAGATGCTGTTCAGTTACACACAACGTGAGAAGAATTATTGTAGCCTTGATATAACCATAGCTGAAAACTGCAGCGTTCAACCAGTTGTGACGGGTTCTAATCGTGACATTAAGAGTAATTCCTCTACAGCAACGTCCAACTTTCAAGAACCTGAGCTATGTCATGTGGAATGCTGGATTTGTCAAGAGGAATTATGTAGTCACACCCAACTTTTGAAACACTATGATAATCATATTAAATAGAACATTTTAGTTCAGTGTTATTTTCTGTAATCACTGTGAAACCCTGTTTAACAGCAATATCCGGTTCCCTAAATCTGATTGTGGTTATGGAATTTAACGGAAAGGACAAGTTGAGCAAATGCTAGTGACCAAGNATCGAAACGACGCTGAATCGTGGCGGTTGAATCCAAAGCTCTAAATATTTACCGCGTTAACTACAAGTTTTCTTGTATTTCTCGGCATTTCTTTGGGAAGAAAAACTTCGAATTGTTCAAACTGTCATTTTTCAAAGCATAAAAAGGAGATATTTGCGTTTAGGTGCCAAAATAAGGGAAAAATTTCTGCTCCTTTCTTGTCGTCATTCAACTAAACAGGAAAGAACCACACATCACGTTCGCGCCGAAATTTGAGTTTGTTCTGACCTCTCGCACATGCGCAGACGTTATTCAGCCCTGTTTGCGTGACGGAGTAAGGCAGACTTTGGCCGCTAGCAGTCTGGGACTGCTTCTTCCCGCTCTTGTCGCCGTTAACTGTCGCCGCTCGTTGCCGCCGCTTCTTGCAGTGAGGTCTTAAGGGTAATAAGGTAAGAAATGCTTAATATAAAGTAATGCAAACCGCTCGTATGTTTACCTTTTACGAGCAAAGTAGATCAGAATTCTTATGACGTAGAATTCTTACCCAGAATTACGCCAGGTTTTGACGATTTGCATTCGATAAAATGGCGCAACGATCTCGAGCCGAAATTTTTCCTCCAGCATTTTTTTACCCGTGGCTATTTCCCCCGGCTCAATGCTCAGTGAAGACTGCCTTCAGAATACCCGGCCACTTATGCGTGTTATTAACGTTCTGCTCCCATTCATAATGATTTTTGGCTCGGTAATGAAATAACTGCGCACTCCCACAGTCATCCGTAGTTCAGAACGGGCAGTGAAAGTTGTTCTCCCGCAGTCCCTTCACTCCCATGGTCTAAGAACAACGAAAACGACTGCTTAGAAGCGAGGCATGCGCGTGTGTTTGCACAATGTACCGTTTGGCCATGTTACTCATGTACATGTAAGATTTTGGGATATATGGTTGTTGAATGCATTTTGATTTTTCGGTCAGATTTTTGCTTCGGAATAGCAAATTCCAGCTGAAGAAGTAGAACTTAGTAACTGTTCTTCTTAGAAAGTTTTACTGAAGTCAAACTATAAACATATACCCGCAGATGGCATAGTGTACAAATAAAACAGATGTGAGAGGTGCAAATGGTTGACTTACTAGTGAAGTGACACGAAAAAATGTAACGGCACCAAAAAAGTTTTCAAAAAGATGCAACACATTGCAGTATTTTCCCAGGTGTTTCAAAAACTAAGACCTAGGATCTTAGACCTAAGACACCCTCTGAATCTCAAAAACTAAAACCAAAGACCCCCTCCGAATCTCAGAAACTGAAACCAAAGACCGCCTCCGAATCTCAAAAACTAAAACCAAAGACCCCCTCCAAATCTCGAAAACTAAAACCAAAGGCCCCCTCCGAATCTCAAAAACTAAAACCAAAGACCCCTTCCGAATCTCAAAAACTAAAACCAAAGACCCCCTCCGATTCTCAAAAACTAAGTCAAAGACCCCCTCCGAATCTCAAAAACTAAAACCAAAGACCCCCTCCGAATCTCAAAAACTAAGACACCCTCTAAATATCAAAAGCTAAGACCTTACACCCCCTCCGAATCTCAAAAACTAAGACCTGGGTTTGCTTGAATTCGAAACTTAAATCACAACAGCATGTGTACCTTTTGCAGCCAAAAATTGTTTGCAGCCAAAGATCTGATTCCTGTTGGATCAATCTTTGATATTTCCTTTTTGAACAGGAAACACTATCATGACTGTTATCTTATGCATATCGACCAGCTTAAATTTCAACTCCTGTACCATCGAGTCTGACCAAAATGAACATAGCAGCCTCAGTTATTTTCAGTACGCCCAAGCTCAGACTTCACAACCAAAAGGAAGTGTTGAAAACATGTCAATTTTATAGTCTGCTCAAGAGGGTGAAATTTGTGAACTCGCTTTTCATTTGATCCAAACAAATTCCGTTGAATAAGACTTTCTGGTGGAAAATCAGTGAAAATTTTAGACTGCTTGGAGAATTACTGTTTACAGTTGCCGGACACTAAGACAGAAAAGTGCATTTATTTACGTGGTAAATTAAAACAGATCAAATTTATGAAGTCAGATTCAATTTTTGCAAGCCGTTTACATACCTAGAGCCGTTAAAATTCATGCTGGTTGATGTATGTAAAATAAGGTGACTGCCCACACCGAAACTTGCGCATGTGAAATAGCATTTTTAGTCCATTTTATTTGAGCTTTCCTTATTTATTTTAATTTGTATTTAAATTTTGTTTATTCAATCTTGTACTAGGTGGCTTTGTAAGAATCCAAAATGAAAATATGATACTGTTGTGCTACTTTTATCCAGACTCACCTCAGACTGACCTTCCTTCGTATCACCTCTTTATGCCTCATATTACGTTGCCAATGTAAATAAATGGTCTCGAACTTTTACCATTTTCTTGTCCTTTATCCCTGTTATATTGTCCTAAACAGGAAAAACAGGAAAGAGATCTTGGAGTGCAAACAATTTTGGGCTGCAAAAATTAGGAGAGGGTTTAGTTTTTGAGATTCAGAGGGGGTCTTAGGTCTTACTTTTTGAGACACCCATCTTTTCCGACCAATTTTTAAACTCTGGAAAAAAAATTTAATTATCACATTTTTATACTTGTCCAGCCAATTAATTGTCCTCGCTTTTTCTTACAATAGCTCATTGTTCGTGTGTGCATATGAATGAGTAAATATGCTAAATGACATTTCTTATCAGCTCTTGTCCCTGCCTGCAAGTCTAGAGAGTTTAATTAATTTTATAGATTTCTTTTTTTCAATTTGAGACCATTAGACTTGGTTTTATACTTCTGATTTTAGCCTTTGTGGGTGTTTCAATAGTCAGTTAATTAAAATTATTGAAGAAGTCAAGAAGTGTGATTGCAGTTTTTAAAACGTTTGTTTGGCTAGTACATTGTCCTGCCAAAAATGCCCTTAGTTACCTAGACAGTTCACCTTTTTGACACACCTTAGCATTAAAGATTACTTTCCCAAGTCCCTTGATTATTATTTTAAATTTTTATTTCAGATCAGCAATTTGGATCGACCTAACAAAGTGGCTTTTAAAGAATTTGTGTTATCATTTTTCTCTTTTCCCAAATAAGGAAGTGGATGCATCAGGGACTGAACTAATATGATGTCAAAACTAAGAAAACAGGAACAAGTACATCCAAAGGAGAAGACTTATGAATGCAAACAGTGTGGCAAGTCCTTTAACAGAGCTGGAGCTTTGAAGACACATCAATTAATTCACACAGGTGAGAAGCCTTATAACTGCAAACAGTGTGGAAAAGCTTTCAACCAAGAGGCAAATTTGAAGAAACATTTAAGAATTCATACAGGTGAAAAGCCATATGAATGCAAACATTGTGGAAAGTGTTTCAACCAATCGACCCATTTGAAGAATCATTTAAGAATCCATACTGGTGAGAAACCTTATGAATGCAAACAGTGTGGAAAGTGTTTCAACCAAGTAAGAACTCTGTATAGACATAAATTAGTTCACACAGGTGAGAGGCCTTTTAAATGCAAACAGTGTGGAAAATGTTTCAAGCAAGCAGCAAATTTGAAGAATCATGTAAGAGTTCACACTGGTGAGAAGCCTTATGAGTGCAAACAGTGTGGAAAGTGTTTCAACCATTTGACAAGTTTGCGGAGACATAAATTCCTTCACATTGCCGAGAAGCCTCATGACTGCAAACAGTGTGGAAAGTGTTTCAACCAAATGAGAAGTTTGCAGAGACATAAATTAATTCACACAGGTATGAAGCCTTATGACTGCAAACAATGTGGAAAAAGTTTCAGCCAGCCAGGAACTTTGAAGATTCATTCAAGAGTCCACACTGGAGAAAAGCCTTATGAATGCAAACATTGTGGAAAGTGTTTTAAGCAAGCAACACATTTGAAGAATCATGTACGAGTCCACACAGGTGAAAACCCTTATCATTGCAAACAGTGTGGAAAGGGTTTTAAGCAAGCAGCAAATTTGAAGAATCATGTACGAGTTCACACAGGTGAGAAGCCTTATGAATGCAAACAGTGTGGAAAATGTTTCAACCAAGTAAGAAGTCTGCACAGACATACATTACTTCATACAAGTGAGAAGTGTTTCAAGAAAGCTGAAAGTTCAAGAAATCATGTAAAAGTGCACTCAAGTGAGAAGCATTGTGAATGTAAACAGTTTCTGAACTGTTTTTGCCAAAAGGGACTTTTAATGGCACTTGAAAAAGCCTCAACAGATAAGATACCATTCAGTTTCACTCAAAGTGAGAAGAATTGTAGCCTCGATATAACCAAAACTGGAAACTGCAGCATTCAACCAGTTGTGATGGGTTCTAATTGTGACATTAAGACTAATTCATCTACAGCAAGATCCAACTTTCAAGAACCTGAGCTATGTCATGTGGAATGTTGGATTTGTCAAGAGGAATTATGTAGTCAAGCCCAACTTTTGAAACACTATGATAATCATATGAAATAGAACATTTTAGCTCATTGTTATTTTCTACATGTATTGCCGCTTTTCATGTGGCGTCATCATTTTCCAAAATAAGAAACTACCAATCCCTCTGAAGTTTTAGTTTCATCAGACGTAAGGCCCTCCAATAACTTGACATTTTGCAGCATTTAAGCTCGACAGGGTTCCTCATTTTGAAATAGGGCATGTTTGAATTTCCAAGTTTATGCGTTGTGTGACATTAAAATGGTGGCCGGATAAGGTTCTCAAGTAGGTCAAAAAGATGAGTTCTTGCTCAAGTTTTTGCCAACTAAACAGTTGTTGCTCTATAAGAAGTGTTAATTTCAATGTGTTGGAGCTCTAGAGTAATAACTTTTCGTTTCAATGGCAAAACTCAATGACAGATATTTCTGTTACTTTACGGCCGCCATGTTTGTGTCCCTCCGAGGGGCACAAACATGGCGACTCCATACAAAGCTCTATAAATTTGAGTGAAACACCTCTCCGAATAACAGGAGAATGAAAAACCGCACAGACCTAAATCTAGGCGAGGTTGTTTATATATCAATCATCTTTCATATCCCAGCTTCTTGACTTAATTCATTGAATGGTTATAATTTTTATTTCTGATGGCATGACACTGCAAACCAGCCATAAGCACTGTGAAACCCTGTTGATCAACCGTGTCCAGTTCTGTAAAATGCTAATGGAATTTAAAGGGACTTTTAATTAGGAAATGATCAGCTGAGCTTATGTTTTGACCAAGTAGAGGCAATTGTTGTAAGATTTTAACCTGCATTGTGCAATTTTTAATGCTTTTGAATAGAGAACTTGTAAAAATAATAGTGTACCAGTTGTGTTCAAGTTTTCTTATGTTTTGTTTCATCAATAGTGGATGTTTTGTTGTTTTTAAATTGCAAAGCTGCCCAGAGGTATCCCAGGGTCCTGGGGAGTCATATACAGCATTTCCAGATAAAGTTGTGCACTTAAAAAAAACCGTGGCACCAGAGACTTGGCCTTTCTTATGTAATCATTAAGTTAGAAAAGCACTCATTTCTTCAGCTCTTTCCTCAGTCAGAGGTAAACAACTATTGTGTTGTGTCAAGAGAAAATGAGGGAACATTTCCTCCTGGTTGTGTGTACAGTGTCAAAAAATCATTGGGAAGATGACAAAGACTTTTATCAGGGTTCTTAACCAATTCCCTCCATAAACTATGGGAATGATTACAAAGGGCAGCATCAAATTGAATTCAGTGCTTGAAAATGGATTTAGTGATGTACTTGCTATTGACTACTGACCACCAAACTGCTATTTAAAATTAGTAGAATTCTACTAGTGTACTTATGCAAGTGCTGTAATCTGATTGGCTGAGCCGTTGCACACTATCAGCTATTAGTGTGCAGTGGCTTGGTTTGGTTGACAAAATTTCGATATTTCCTCGTTTCTCCAAAGTTTTGAAAAATCATTTACAAACAAATAATTAAACAAAATTCCGGAGAAGACTAAAAGATACACATTTACGGTTTCTTGAATCAAAAAAGCTCAAAAATTTTGAAAGAAACTAGTAAGTACACAACTGCAAATGTCAATGTCTGTAAACCAAGGCTGCATGTCTGGGAGTATGGCCGCTGTCTTGCACGCATGTGTGGTCATCCCCGTCATGCATACACACCTAAGCAATACCGCTAGCCATGATAACCATGAGAAAATCAACTGATGGGTTTCCTTTCTTTCCCATATGATTATGGGGCTCCGCTATCATCAGTGACCATATCGCAGGCTCTTGTTTAGAGCTCAACGAGGTTACATTTCTTAAAGTCTACCGCTGACCAAGTGCTGGATTTTGATTGGATCGTGGGCTCATGTCAGGTTATCTTGTAATCAGGGCCGGGTTATTCGGAAGCCGATTAACTGTCCCCCAGGATTAAAAGTTAACTGAAGTATAAATTTTCTTTGTATACAAATGTTCTTCACTGCTTTTGTGATTATTGAAACTCAGATCAGAAGGCCAAACAATGTACAGAAAACCTCTCCGCAAAGTTTCAAGACTCAAATCAAAATTCTCGCTTTTCCTGGGTTAGCTTAATCGGGCTTTGAAAAACCCGGCCCAGGAGCTCCGCCTTTAGGCTTGGCTTAGCCTGCAATGCAAGCGTATTTTGGCGAGCGAGCGCATTTTGAACAAGCGAGCGCCATCTTGTATTCAAACTCGGAAGAGGCTTGGAAGAGACGAAAAAACGACCTAGGGAGCAGGAGTGAGGCGGAAAGAGGAGTCAGTGGAGGGGGAGGAAAGGAAAGCTACGCCTACCGGCAGTAATTGTTTGTTTGGGAAACGCCGTTCGTCCACGAACAAAGTCTCATTGGTGCGGTGTGAAACTAATAGATTGATATCTGCCAATAACCTCTAAATCGATATGTTGAAGTCATACAGACCCCCAAACGATTGAAACGAATTTAACGTCACTGTGGAAATTCTGTTATGCACTGCAGACGTTTTGACGTCGTGCTATTGCCGTCCCGAACTAAATCCAAGTATTAAATTCGACTTAAGCACGGCATTAGCTCGACGTTTGAAACCACCCAGTTCGGCACTCTGAATTAAGTTCAGCACGACTACTTCGAACGGCAAGCCTTGCCGTGCCGCACGGCAGCAATCAATCTATCAACCTTTATTTTACTGCGCCTTTCAATAACATGCGGACTCTAAAATTCAAAGCTCAACTGACAAATGCGTTTTTCGCTACCGTCAATCAAATGTTCGGCGGCTCCTCCAAGCTTCCGACTACTGCCGAGTACTGTTTCGTTGTCTGGACTGTGCTCAACGATTTGATTACCGCGCGCTTGGCAGTAGTAGGAAGGAGCCGCCGAACATTTGATCGACGGTAGCGAAAAACGCACTTGTCGATAGAGCTTTGAATTTTAGAGTCCGCATGTTATTGAAAGGCGCAGTAAAACGACAGTTTTCAAAGCTACAAGGCCTATGGGGTCGTTTAACAGAGGATCTAATGCGCTAATGAAGTCATAAAAATAGTAGTTGGTTTAGAAAGGAGTACTGCTCATAGCCTGCTACATCAGCTGCCGTTGCTTTCTAGCATTTAAGATGGTCTTCAGCAAAGCAAACTTCTTCCGATCTTCGGCCACTGCCGCGCCAAAATTATTTGAATTCGGCACGACATTAGCACGCGACGTTTGGACTAGGCCTTACGCGAGCAATCGTTGCTGTCGTTAGTGCAAAGGATTCACACCTTCACATAAATCTTTCTGAAAGAGACCCCCGGGGGAACTTCCAGAAAAATTGGCTGGGGGCTTCCCAAAACCCTTAACCTATTTATGACCACACTCTCCGTTTCTTGCTACCCTATTTATGACCTGACCAAAAGTTCCATAGCCTATTTATGACCGTTACGGCTGAGACAGTTGACCTAAACATAAGTTATGAACGGCTTTTGTAGACGGTCTTATTGATAATGATGAAAAAGTTGCTTCTTCTAAGAAACATACCCAATTCAAGACTTGGAGCGCAAAACCATTCCCTATTCGTAACCAAAATTGCCAAAATCGATACCCTATTTATGACCAAAACGGCTGAACAACCCTATTCTTTGGGGCCGCACGTACCCATATAGCCCATGTAAGAGAGGAATCCCCGGGGAGAGACCACTAGCGCCTAACGTACAGTAAAACCAGACTGAGCGGTAAATTCTCACATCCTTCATTAAAAGTCAGCAGCTCGTCTGGATTTCGCGCTTCCAACATACTGCCCGATTTCAAGTACTCGTTAAATTCCTTAATATGACTTTGTACATCAGGCAAAAATTTCCAGCTGCTTTAGAAATTGTGTCAGAAACCTCGTGTCATTTTTGAGAAGCAATATTTTAAATTAATGTTTTCGTGACTTCTAGCCTGTTCCAGGCTCTCGGTAGTTGGGGAAGAGCGAAAAAAAAGGAGGGCAAGCGAGAGAAAAAACGAGCGGGACTTAGAATAGGCGTTCCTCTCAACCCAAGTTAAACAGTTAAACTTCCAAATTATGATCTCCACGAAATATAAAGTCTTGTACACATCTACAGCACAGTTTCGCAAAAGCTGGAAATTTTCTTTGTATTCATGATGTATCATGTTAAACAGTGGTTGTGTTTTAATCTCTGTATCTTCTTCTCAGTATCTGCCCTGCAAGTGTGACCCTAGGGTAAATTACACAGAAGTTCTAAAAATGAGTCTAGCTTTGACGAAACCCTTTCTGCAGAACTGCGACCTGTCACAGTAAATTTCTTTTTAAAAATTAAGCACCTGACATTCACAAACACATCTATAACCCATTTGTGTCGTAAATCAAGTTTTGTCCAGTGGTCCTTGAATCCAATCCAACTTCCAACACAACATCCAATCCAGGCTTTCCTCTGCGAAAAGACTGGGAGCTACTGAAGGATTGCGCGCCACGAGTTTGATGGACTAAACGATAGAGTTTAAATGAGAAACGATTTTCCTTCAGAAGGTACATGTAAGAGGATGTTTAGAATACCTTTCAGGTAGATTTTATTTTGATGCCAGAGATTCTAACCTAGTAACAGGTGAACTGGTTTTAAAAAGCTGTGGTAATTCAACAATTTCGTCCGATATCGTAGCGCGCTTTCAGTTCGAGTAAGCAAGATAAGCTGCCCGGATAAGCGTAACCGGTCGTTTTGCTTTCGAGTTTCGCTGATTAAGGTTATATCTGTACACATTTGAGCTTGAATTTAACCGTATTTACATTGTTTGAAAGTGAAATGTGTTGTTTCCTTGGTCAGTTACGGTCAGCATATCCACTAAATCTTTGAACAGGTTAACAAGAGAATACATGTATCATAATGAGCTTCTTCCTATTGTATTGTCACTTTCCTTGAAGGGAATCTTGGCTGTTTATGGTCCAAAATATGGGTCTATTTAATGGTACTTGGGTTTTAAGTCAATATCTATTGTGAGCGGTTGGAACGTGCGATTTGCTTCGATAACCTGGTACCTCCTGATGACCGCCATGTTTACAGACTTTACAGCACATCTACTTTCATGGAGTCTTAAGCTGGGAGGAAGAGGGGCGTAATATTATGTATCAGGGGAAAATTGCATGTTGTATTTGACCGGTCTAAAACGAGTTATCACCAAGCTAAAATTTATTTGGCCAGTCATCTTGGCCAGCGAGCATTTATTCCAGTCCTGCTTCCTTTATATTACATGTTACCATGGCAGCAGCAAGACCTGTTGAAAACACCCCTAATTCTAGTTAAAAGTGTTAAACTAGTTTTTTGTGGTGGACATTTCTAGGGCATTTTAGCATTTTGACACACCTCAACATTAAAGATTACTTCCTTAAGTCTCTTGACTGTTGTTTTTATTTTTAATTTTTCTTTCAAATCTCAAATTTGGATTGGAAGTACATATAGATGTAGGTAAAGGTAAAGTCTGCATATGAGCCAAGTGGCCCACCAGGCCGGAGCTTATCCCGGTTTCTGTAGCATGAAGCGACTAGGAGTATCTCTACTCCCCCCTGGATGGGATGCTAGTCCATCACAGGGTAAAGCCCAGCTTTAAGTTCGCCGGTACCCATTTATACACCTGAGTGGAGAGAGGCATTGTGAGAGTAAAGTGTCTTGTCCAAGAACACAACAGAATGTCCCCGGCCAGGGCTCGAACCCGGACCACTCGATCCAGAGATGAGCGCACTAACCATGAGGCCACCGTGCCTCCCACTAGGTGACTGAAAAGCTCAAGACATCTAATGTTGCAACCTTTTCTCACTTTCCATTAGATGTACAGAAATGATGGAATGAACTGCTATGAAGTCAAAAGTAGGGAAACCTGAATCAGTACACCCAAGGGAGAAGCCTTATCACTGCAAACAGTGTGGAAAGTGTTTCAACCAAGCGGGACATTTGAAAAGTCATTTAAGAGTCCACACTGGTGAAAAGCCTTATGAATGCAAACAGTGTGGAAAGTGTTTCAGCCAAGCAGGAAGTTTGCAGAGACACCAATTAGTTCACACAGGTGAGAAACTTACTGAATGCAAACAGTGTGGAAAGTATTTCAAGTATGTAAGAAGTTTGCAGGCACATAAATTAGTTCACACAGGTGAGAGGCCTTATGAATGCAAACAGTGTGGCAAGTCCTTTAAGCGAGCTGGAACTTTGCACAGACATCAATTAGTTCACACAGGTGAGAAGCCATATGAATGCAAACAGTGTGGAAACACATGGTTCAAGCGAGCAGAACATTTGAAGAATCATTTGAGAGTCCACACTGGTGAAAAACCCTACGAATGCAAACAGTGTGGAAAGTGTTTCAGCCAAGCAGGAAGTTTGCGGAGACATCAGTTAGTTCACACAGGTGAAAAGCCTTATGAATGCAAACAGTGTGGAAAGTGTTTCAAGGATGTAAGAAGTTTGCAGGCGCATGAATTAGTTCACACAGGTGAGAAGCCTTATGAATGCAAACAGTGTGGCAATTCCTTTAAGCGAACTGGAACTTTGCGAAGACATCAATTAGTTCACACAGGTGTGAAGCCATATGAATGCAAACAGTGTGGAAAGTGGTTGAAGCGAGCAGAACATTTGAAGAATCATTTAAGAGTCCACACTGGTGAAAAGCCTTATGAATGCAAACAGTGTGGAAAGTGGTTCAAGCAAGCAGAACATTTGAAGAATCATTTGATAGTCCATACTGGTGAAAGACCTTATGGATGCAAACAGTGTGGAAAGTGTTTCAAGCAAACAGGACATTTGAAGGCTCATTTAATAGTTCACACTAGAGAGAAGCCTTATGATTGCAAACAGTGTGGAAAATGTTTCAAGCAAGCTGATAGTTTAAGAAATCATGTAAAAGTGTACTCAAGTGAGAAGCTTTGTGAATGCAAACAGGTTTTGAAGTGTTTTTGCCAAGAGGGATGTTTAATGACACTTGAAAAAACCTGCACATATGAGATACCTTTCAGTTGCACACAAAGTGAGAAGAATTGTAGCCTCGATATAACCAAAACTGAAAACTTCAGCATTCAACCAGTTGCGATGGGTTCTAATTGTGATATTAAGAGTACTACATCTATAGCAACATCCAACCTTCAAGAACGTGAGCAATGTCATGTGGAATGTTGGATTTGTCAAGAGGAATTATGTAGTCAAGCCCAACTTTTGGAACACTATGACAATCATATGAAATAGAACATTTTAGCTCAATGTTATTTTCAGTAATCACTTAAAACCATTTAAATCAAACACATCCAGTTCACTAAAATCTGATAACGGTGATAAAATTGAAAGAGGCTTTTAATTAGGAAATGACCAGCTGAAGTGGAAGTGATAGTTGTGAGATTGTAACCTGCATTGTTCAATTTTCCATGCGTTTCAAATAGGCAACTCTTAAAAATAATAGTGAACCAGTTGTGTTGAGTTGTGGTCAAGTTTTCTGATGTTTTGTTTCATTAAAAGAGGATATTTTGTTGATGCCTCTCATTTGATGTGTAATTACAGTCTAGAGCAAAACTGTCCACAGGTATCCCAGGGTCCCTGGGAGCCATACAGCTCTTAGATTTGTATTTAACGAAAAACCACATCGCCAGAAATCTGGCCTTCCTTACATGTAATCACTGAGTTACAAAAACACTATTCAGTAACATTGCATTGAATTTGGAATCGCAGGAGCATTCCATTGCATTGAAGAATAAATCTACGAGCGCTCTATCATCAATGCTGTTCTCTGATTGGCTAGGCTACTCACTATCTATTCTGTGTTAGATAGTGAGTAGCGTATGGTGAGCGCTTGTTAGGAAACTGGTGGCTTCTTTGCGTTTTTGAAGTGTCTGTGAGGAGGTTCTATTTATGTATTTATTTATTTTTATTTCATCAATTGCTACTTACACTGCTTACAATACAATATTAATATAGTTACTCACACTGCTTATTACTTACGCCACTTACGATACTAACACTTACAATACAATACGCATACTTGCGCTACTAACAATACTAATACTTACACTATTTACGATACAACATAGCTAGATTACTTGCACTACTTACAACTCTAGCACAGCAAAATCGTACCAGTTTACTCCTGTCAGTAATTTAAATTTCGGAATTGCGAATTAAATAAAATATACAAGGTATATATGCACCTTGTTTCTTTTCCCTTCATTTTTATTTTCGTTTTCAGGGACTAGGGTCAAACTGTCAAGAGATTACAAAAGAGATAACAGAGGCTCCCACTTTGATTGCGATTGTAGTTGTATTTTTTCCATTTCATAGATATGTTTCAAATACAGTAAGAAATCGTTAAGTTTTGGAGAACATTTTCTCTGTATACATAGCCAAATATAATATTTAGCATTTAAGCAGCAAAAGTTAATTTGGAGTTTATGTTTAGAGCTATCCAGCCATAGACCCAGTGCTGTATCAGGCCCTAAGGGTGTGTCTTTGGCAATGACTTGGCAAGACTGTAGCCATACTTTAAAATTGGTCCAAAAATATTGAGTTTTTGGGCGAGCCCAAAATAAATGTGCCAGTTTCTCTGTTTCTCTTTCGCAGAAAGTGCATTTCTTGCTATCAACGAGACCATTTTTTTTCAAGAAGTTGTTTGTTGATATTCTTCTATGAAGAAATTTAAAATTGAAAGTTATAAGTTTTGTGCTCTTCGTACATTGAAAAGCCATTTGATAAACCTCTTTCCAGTTGAGCTCTTGTTTTGTTGTGAGAGTGATGTCTTCCTGCCACTTTTGTCGACTTTGGTTGGGTGATTCACTTTTTTCTGATACAAGTTTCTTATACACTAGTCTACTAGGTTTTTTGCTGTTTAAAAACTTTTCACAAGAAACTTTCAAGTTTAATCGAGGTTCTGGTATTATGGGTTATATTTCTTTGCAGAAGTTTTATTGAAGAAATGATTCCAAGAAAGGTTAAATGTCAGGCTGTCAGGTCGTGTATAGTTTGGAAAGCAGTGAGCGAGAAACTTTCCGGAGTCATCCATTAAATGTTCTACTTTTGTTATTCCTTTGAGGAACCATTCTTTAAAAAACACTGGTCTATTCTCAACTCTTATAAGTGAATTATACCATAAGGGTGATGACCGAAAGTGATAAACTGATACAACCTTTTCTTCATAATTGGCTTCTGACCAGATTTCAAGAATTTCTCTGAAAAAAGGATCTGATACTTTGATAATGTTACAACTGTCTTTTATGTCTAGATTTCCAGTTAGTGTTACTTCACCTATATTTTTCAAGTTCTGAGTCAAAAAATCTTTTCCAGCTTCCACAGTTTTCCTTATCTATATACTTCTACATCCATGTGGCTTTGAGAGATCTATTAAAGGAAGCTATATCAATCATTTTAAGTCCCCCTTCTCAGTAATCATCAATTATTACCTTTCCGTTTTTGTTTTGTTGCCTTTGTCATTCCATAAGAAGTTATAAAACAATACATTGATCTCCTTTATTGCTGTGTGATTTGTTTGAAGAGGAGAAAAAAAATGCACCAGTTGTGAAGCTATGAGGCTTTTTAAAACAGTAATTTTACCTAAAAGGCCAAGTCTGCGAAGTTTCCAACATCCCAGAATCGATTTAATTTTTCCTATTTTATCTTTGTAATTCAAAGATATAGTTACATCAGGGTCTGTTGACAACCATATCCCTAACGCTCTGACTTTTTTTTTAGGGGGGGGGCTATTTGAAGTCTTTTCCAATATCAAGAAAAAGGAGCAGTCCCGGTATATTGTTTGTTTTTGTATATTTGATGACGCTGTCTATTAAACGAATGTTCTCTCCGATAAATCTGTCTCTAATGAAGCTGGTTTGATCGTCAGAAACAAGTTTTGGCAGGAAAGTTTTGATGTGGCTTGCAATAGCTTTTTTTTGCAATTTTGTAATCGCAATTCTAAAGCATTAAAGGTCACCAGTTCTTTATTGAATTAAGGTTAGCATCCTTTTTTGGTATGAACTTAATAATGCCCCTCCGTTGTGATACTGAGAGCTTTCCAATTTCGTAGGAATAATTTGAAGAGTTCATCAAAATTTCCACCATGTCATTCCAAAACACTTTGTATAATTCGCAGGGGAGATCTAGACCATCGGTTCCTGGGGATTTATCTGTCACCATGCTTTTCAGCGCTTCTAAACATTCATTCTCCCTTAATTCTCCCTCACAGAGAGATTGCTTATTGTTATTCAAAGCCTTTTTTTTTGAGGAAGAGGAGGATTTAGAGTTTTGAACGACTAGTAGATTTACACTAAAACAATTAGATTATGCACTCTCGATTTCTATCCGTGTTAGTTGACTTAGGCTGCGCCCTGGTCAGCTATTGCACAATAGAAATCTCAAGCTCACAATCTAATTATTAAACCTAAATCATATTTCTTGGCAGTATTAAAGGGTTCCTTAATAAGGAAATGTTTCCTCTGTTCTGCTGGGCATAATTATTAACTGTGCATAGTTATGAAGTAGTGGTCTTAATGAGCTGGTATGGTGGTTGTAACCCCTGGTCTAATGTAATTTCTTCAGTTTTTTCAGCACAATTGTTCAATAGTTCATAAATACACAACAACTTGTTTGGGGGTTTCCAGGTCTTTATTGAAATGACCTATGCGCGAATTCCTGAAAAAAAAAATTACAGTCGCGGAATACGCTTTGCTGTTACTCGCTCAATAGCTATCGCAATATGCCAATTACTTGCAGCTGTGGCGGTACATATACATCTTATGGTCATGGCTAGCATTTCCGCCTATTGTATTTAATCATGATAAACAAGTCTATCATACACTAAATACACAACAACTTGTTGGGGATTTCCGGGTCTTAATTGCAACGACCTACGTGCGAATTCCCCAAAGACCCCCAAGAAGTTGCTGAAGTTATGAGTGAGGGATAGCCTTGCTTATCATGCTCACAGGAACTCATTTATATTGAAGAGAACAGTCCAAATAGCGATCATACGCGTTAGAGCACCAATCGCCTTGGAGTTCAATGTTATGTCCAGGAACACCGCAACTTTGGGCAAAAGTTGCTCCTCCTCTACGAAAGGAGTGTCCAGAGAACTTAGTGCTGTCAATACCGCATTTGTTAAAAAAAAATTACATTTGCTGAATACGCTTTCCTGTCACTCGCTCAATAGCTATCGCAATATGCCGGTTGCTTGCGGTCGTCACGGTACATATACATCTTATGGGCTTGGCTAGCATTTCCGCCTATTTTATTTAATCATGATGAACAAGTCTATCATACACTTTTTTTTCACAGAATTTTTCCAAAAACAAGGGGGACCCAAGTTAAACAGTTAAACTTCCAAAATATGATCTCCACGAAATATAAAGTCTTGTACACATCTACAGCCCAGTTTCACAACAGCTGAAAATTTTCTCTGTATTCATGATGTATTATGTTAAACAGTGGTTGTGTTTTTATTTCTGTTTCTTCTTCTCTTTATCTGCCCTAAAAGTGTGACCCTAGGTTAAATTACACAGAAGGTCTAAAAATGAGTCTAGCTTTAATGAAAACCACGATTTTGCAGAACTGTGAACTGTTACAGTAAGTTTTTGTTACAAAAAAAATTAGCACCTGACATTCACAAACACATATATAACCCATTTGTGTCGTAAATCAAGTTTTGTCCAGTCGTCCTTGAATCCAATCCAACTTCCAATACAACATCCAATCAAAACTTTCCTCTGCGAAAAGACTGGGAGCTACTGAAGGATTGCGCGCCAGCATGCTGCGCGCCATGAGTTTGATCGAGTATAAAACGATCGAGTATAAAATCAGAAACGATTTTCCTTCATAAGGTAAGGAGATGTTTAGAATATCTTTCAGGTAGATTTTATTTTGATGCTAAGAATTCTAACCAAGTAGCAGGTGAACTGATTTTAAAAAACTGTGATAATTCAACAATCTGATCCGATATCGTAACGCGCTTTCAGTTCAAGCAGAAGCATATCACCTATGCTTCTGGTTCAAGTAAGCGAACTTAGATAAGCGGCCCGGATAAGCACCTAACCGGTCGTTTTGCCTTCGAGTTGTTTCGCTGATTGTAGCTGTACACATTTATGCTTGAATTTAACTCTATTTACATTGTTTGAAAGTGAAATGTGTTGTTTCCTTGATCGGTTACGGTCAGCATATCCACTGCATCTTCGAAGGGAATCGAAGGCTTATTGTCCTCTGAACCGATTAACAAGAGAATATCGTAATGAGCTTCTTCTCATTGTATTGTCACTTTCCTTTAAGGGAATCTTGACTGTTTATGTTCCAAAATATATTTCATGGGTCTCTTTAATGGTCTTTGGGTTTTAAGTCAATATCTACTGTGAGCGGTTGGAACATGCGATTTGCTTTGATAACATGGTATCTCCAGGTGGGCACCATGTTCACAGCACATCTACTTTCATGGAGTTTTAAGCTGGGAGGAAGAGGGGCGTAATATTACGTACCAGGGGAAAATTGCATGTTATATTTGACCGGTCTAAAACGAGTTATCACCAAGCTAAAATTTATTTGGCCGGTCATCTTGACCAGCAAGCAAGAGTCATTTATTCCAGTCCTGCTTTCTTTATATTACATGTTACCACGGCAACAGTAAGACCTGTTGAAAACACCCCTAATTCTAGCTAAAAGTGCTGACAACTTTTAAACTAGTTTTGTGATAGGCATTTCTAGGGCATTTTAGCTTTTTGACACACCTTAACATTAACAATTACTTACTTAAGTCTCTTGACTGTAATTTTTATTTTCAATTTTTTTTTTCAAATCTTGAATTTGGATTGGAACTACATGTAGATGTAAGTGACTTAAAAGCTCAAGATATCTAATGCTGCAACCTTTCCTCAGTCACTTTCCATTAGATGTAAAGAAATGATGGAATTAACTGGTATGATGTCAAAAGTAAAGAAACATGAACCAGTACATCCAAGGGAAAAGCCTTGTGGCTGCAAACAACATGGAAAGTGTTTCAACCAAGTAGGACATTTGAAAAGTCATTTAAGAGTCCAAACTCATGAAAAGCGTTATGAATGCAAACAGTGTGGAAAAGCTTTCCACCAAATAGGAAGTCTGAAGAATCATTTAAGAGTCCACACTGGTGAGAAGCCCTATGAATGCAAACAGTGTGGAAAGTGTTTCAGCCAAGGAGGAAATTTGCAGAGACATCAATTAGTTCACACAGGTGAGAAACCTTATGAATGCAAACAGTGTGGAAAGTGCCTCAACCGAGTAGGGAGTTTGAAGGAACATTTAAGAATTCATACTGGCGAAAAGCCTCATGAATGCAAACAGTGTGGCAAGTCCTTTAACCATGCTGCAACTTTGCGGAGACATCAATTAGTTCACACAGGCGAGAAGCGTTATGAATGCAAACAGTGTGGAAAGTGTTTCAAGGGTGTAGGAAATTTGCAGAAACATAAATTAGTTCACACTGGTGAAAAGCCTTATGAATGCAAACAGTGTGGCAAGTCCTTTAACCAAGCTGGATCTTTGCGGAGACATCAATTAGTTCACACAGGTGAGAAGCCTTATGAATGCAAACAGTGTGGAAAGTGTTTCAAGGATGTAAGAAGTTTGCAGGCACATAAATTAGTTCACACAGATGAGAAGCCTTATGAATGTAAACAGTGTGGCAAGTCCTTTAACCGAGCTGGAAATCTGCGGAGACATCAATTAGTTCACACAGGTGAGAAGTCTTATGAATGCAAACAGTGTGGAAAGTGGTTGAAACGAGCAGACAATTTGAAGAATCATTTAATAGTCCATACTGGTGAAAGACCTTATGACTGCAAACAGTGTGGAAAGTGTTTCAAGCAAGCAGGACATTTGAAGACTCATTTAATAGTTCACACTAGAGAGAAGCCTTATGATTGCAAACAATGTGGGAAATGTTTCAAGCAAGCTGAAAGTTTAAGAAATCATGTAAAAGTGCACTCAAGTGAGAAGCTTTGTGAATGCAAACAGTTTCTGACGTGTTTTTGCCAAGAGGGATGTTTAATGACACTTGAAAAAACCTGCACATATGAGATACCTTTCAGTTGCACACAAAGTGAGAAGAATTGTAGCCTCGATATAACCAAAACTGAAAACTTCAGCATTCAACCAGTTGTGAAGGGTTCTAACTGTGATATTAAGAGTACTACATCTACAGCAACATCCAACTTTCAAGAACCTGAAGTATGTCATGTGGAATGTTGGATTTGTCAAGAGGAATTATGTAGTCAAGCTCAACTTTTGAAACACTATGACAATCATATGAAATAGAACATTTTAGCTCAATGTTATTTTCTGTAATCACTGTGAAACCCTGTAAATCAACCACAGTTCACTAAAATCTGATTACGGTAATAAAAATTAAAGAGCCTTTTAATTAGGAAATGACTAGCTGAGCTAATTTTTTGACCAAGTGGAAGTGATTGTTGTAAGATTCCAACCTGCATTGTTCAATTTTTCATGCATTTAAAATAGAGAACTCTTAAAAATAATAGGAACCAGTTGTGGTCAAGTTTTCTGATGTTTTGTCTCATCAATAGAGGATATTTTGTTGATGCCTCTCATTTGATGTGTAATTACAGTTTAGAGCAAAACTGCCCACAGATATCCCTGGGTCCTTGGGAACCATACAGCTCTTAGATTTGAATTTAAGGAAAAACCACATCACCAGAAATCTTGCCTTCGTTATATGTAATCGTTGAGTCACAAAAACACCCTTTTTTAGTAACATTGCATTGCATGGAAGGAGAAATGTAGTAGCGTTCTATCATGAATGCTGTTCTCTGATTGCCGGCTATGCCACTCACTATCTATTCTGTGTTAAATAGTGAGTAGCGTACGGTGAGCGCTTGTTAGGAAACTGGTGGCTTCTTCTTTGCGTTTTTGAATTGTCTCTGAGGAGGATTTATAGTTTTAAACAACTAGTAGATTTACACTAAAGCAATCAGATTATTCACTCTCGATTTCTATCCGTGATAGTTGACTTGGGCTGCACCCTGGTCAGCTATTGTGTAATAGAAATCTCAAGCTCACAATCTAATTGATTAACATAAATCGTATTTCTTGACAGTATTAAAGGAGCTCAGTCACGGTTTGCGCATATTGAAAAGTTTAGCCTCAATTTTTCAAATTCGTCGTTTGCAATTTGTGTTAATCTTCTCCATCCTTAGCCATCCTAGTTCCTTTATGGTTTATTATCATCTCTTTAGTGTTTTTCTATCTTATTAAACTGTCATTTTCAGGTTTTCTACCATTTAATGGTAATTCCGTATGTGGCCAAAATAACTCAAAATACCGTGACTGTGCCACAGGCTAGTGGTTCTGCAGTAAACTTTGACAATGTTATGACGAAATTTATCATCAATAAGGGGACAGACGCATAATAAACTGACGTCAATTTGTTTTTTACAATAACAACCCCAAAATGTTCAAAAGCTGGGAATAAATGAGGGCAAAAGACGCCGTAAACTTGCGGTAAACAAAGATGAGTGAATTCTTTTCAAAATGATGTGAACATTGCCAATACCTTTTCTCGCTTTTTGATTGGCTAAAGGTCCATAAAATCTCATTGGTAAAAAAGACGACAGTTTTGGCAGCTGAAAGTTGAACTTGAAAGCTTGCATAAATTAAAACTTTATCCATCTGTACTCTTATTGTTGATAAAAATGAGCCAATCAGCGCGCAAGAAATTAGACGGTTATTGTAAAAAAAAAAAAAAAACCTTGTTGTCGTAAGTCAAGTTTTGTCCAGTCTCGTCCAGTCGTTCTTGAATCCAATCCGAGTGTTTCTCTGCGAAAAGACTGGGAGCTACTGAAGGATTGCGCGCCATGAGTTTGATCGAGTATACAATGAGACGATTTTCCTTCAGAAGGTAAGAAGATGTTTAGAGTACCTTTCAAGTAGATTTTATTTTGATTCTAACGAAGTAAGAGGTGAACTGGTTTTAAAAAGCTGTGGTAATTCAACGATTTCATCCGATATCGTTGCGCGCTTTCAGTTCGAGTAAGCGAATTTCGAAGATAAGCGGTAACCGGTCGTTTTGCCTTCGAGTTGTTTCGGTGATTAAGCTTATATCTGTACACATTTAAGCTTGAATTTAACCGTATTTACATTGTTTGAAAGTGAAATGTGTTTTCCTTGATCGGTTACGGTCGGCATATCCACTACATCTTTGACGGGAATCGAAGGAGGCTTAATTATTGTCCTCTGAGCCGGTTAACAAGAGAATATCATATTCTCTTTCCATAAAGGGAATCTTGGCTGTTCATGTTCCAAAATATGGGTCTCTTTAATGGTCCTTGGGTTTTAAGTCAACATCTTTTGTGAGCGGTTGGAACATGCGATTTGCTTTGATAACCTGGTATCTCCTACCTGCAGCTAAATACAGGAATTGCACCCTATTAAGGTAATTCCCCTGAAATAAAACTGCGCATAGACTTTTGCTCAAACTTTGTCCACTGAATATTTATCATATGAGAACTTTAATTACAAAACAAAAAAGGGGGGTGCCCGTGCTCGTTAAGGAGCAGCAAGGCATTGAAAATGTCCCATTTTAGCGTTATTTAATGCTTATTACAGGAACGCATTCCAAGTTATTGTAAACTCTTTGTGAGCCCAGACTCGTGAAAACACGCCTCAAACTACTGTCAATACTTGTGTCAGACACAAATTAACTTTTTAAGTTTGATTTTGACAGACAGCTGAATCCTTGTTAAAACATTGGAACCAAATTGCTTGCCACGGCTATCAAACTGCAAAATAGAGAAGACTACAGTGCAGCTGCTATTTTCCTTATTTACTTAATTTTCAATAATAGAAATCAGATTATATTTGACCGGGCAGAAACAAGTTATCATCAAGCTATAATTTATATGGCTGGTCATCTTGACCAGCAAGCAAGAGTCATTTTTTCTAGTCCTGCATTCTTTATATTACATGTTACCATGGCAACAGTAAGACCTGTTGAAAACACCCCTAATACTAGCTAAAAGTGATGACAACTCTTAAAGTAGTTTTGTGATAGGCATTTCTAAGGCATTTTAGCTTCACGCACCTTACTTTCTCACAGCGGTTACCGAGCACATGCGACCTTCAGCACAAAAATGTCTTGAAAAAACGTAAGTTTTGGTGGTCGTCAATCATCTCCACCTCCTTGCCGACTGTATGCAAAATTTACCTGAAAAAGTGAACCCTTGCAGCTAGCTCACTAAAGACATTGGCAGTAAATATTCCTTGAAATCTATAAAATAATGAAGATGTTTGTTGGGTTTTTTAACAGCCATTCGCACGCATGAATGACCCCGAGAGCAAGCAAATCTACACACAGACAAATTATTTCTGCATGTATTTTTCTTGGGGCTACAGACTGAGCAATGCTTAATCCTATAAAACTTGTAACTTATTACCTTACAAAATTATGAGGTTTATAAGATGTTTAAGTCTTGTTCAGTCCATAACCCCAAGACAAATACGCGCAGAAATAATTTGTTTATGTGTAGATTTGCTTGCTCTCGGGGTCATTCATGCATGTGAATGGCGGTTGAAAAACCCGAGCTGCCCGTCTTCTGTTATAAATTTCAAGGAATATTAAATGCCAATGTATTTAGTGAGCTAGCTGTGCATACTGGAAGTAAAATGATAACTTTTACTAATGGACTGCATGCTGCAAGGGTTTTTTTTTTGTAGTACTTTGTATAGTGTGTGTGCAGTCACACAACTATGACGTCAGAGAAATTTTGTGGCCGCCATGTTGGAGGAGTGAAAATACAACACATTTGGTGGGCTGTTGTATTCGGAAAGCATAAATTCATGAGTGATGCCTTCGTTTTGCCTCATTGTTGGCTGTTCCAACAACAAAAAGAAGAATCTAGACCTTTGCTTCTGTCGGGTGCCAAAAATTGTCACAAGTCAAGGAGAAGAAGCTGAGATCTTGTCCACCGAAAGTCGACCTCACTCGGTGGTTACCTGCCATTTAGTCAAGCTGACTTGATGGAGACAATTCCAGAGAACGGCTGTGTTTGCAGTATTCACATTCATTAATTAAGGAGAAGCAGCATACTTATGGGATCGATTCAACCCAGACATAGACCAATCCAGAGGATTACAGTTGATCGTGCAGCACTCAGACAGAGGAGTGGCACCATTTCATTTGTGAGTGAGGCTTGGGTTGGCCGTACATCTGACAAATTTTTGACAGAGAACTGTGGATTTTTGAGCAACTTAACCCCTGGGGATCTTGTCCTTGCAGACCGAGGATTTACTGTCCATGAAGAAGTATGGTTTCGCCAAGTTGAACTCAACAACCCTGCATTCACAAAAGGTAAAAATCAGCTGGATCCTCTAGATGTTGAGAAAACTCGTAAAATTGCCAAAGTCCGCCTTCACATGGAATGTGTCATTGGCATCCTCAGACAGAAGTATACAATTCTTCAAAGCACACTACCTACATACTTTCTCACATGCAATCAGGAGAGACAAATTCCTTTGATTGATAGGATCTTGAGGGTGTGCTCTGCCCTGGTTAACCTTTGCCCACCTATCATACCTTTTGATCAAAGAGTACAGTACTCTTGTGGAGGTTTTCTTCCCATTGGCATTAATTTTGTAATTTTTAATGTGTGATTCCTGAAAATTTCCATACCTCCCCAAGGATGTCTTTTTGGTTTAAACCCTCCCACCCACTCTGGAATTTTCAGTTATGCTTCATACTTTCCCTAAGAATTTTGGCTTTTGAGACCCCCCTCTGCCCTCTGAATTTTTAATGACCATTGTTTGGGTGGGTGTGGATATTTTTGTGGAACCACACATATAGAGATACATTGTACTGGTACCTTGTTTCAGATATTTAACATTTTTAAAGTTAAAACAATTTTTCACAGAGAGAGAATAGTCACAGATATTAATATAGTTTCTTTGTAGTTGCTAAAAATGGTAATTTCAACAATACCATTGTACTGGACTGTGATTTGTAGACTTAAGTTGATTCAAATGCTGTTATACTGTTTTGCACAATTGCATTGGGTGGGGAACCCCCATATGAAACAGACAGGGTTATCACACCTAGGATTGCACATTTTAAATGCTTGGTCTTGCTATTTAGGGGGTCAAAAAAGCTTGAGCAACCCAAATTCATCTCCTTCAGGGGTTTGATTCAGAATTTCCAGTGCCTCAGTCTCAGTCTATTTCATATGGCCGTACCCTTCCCTCACTGCAGGCATAACACTGAAAATTGGGAGAGCACCCCTTGCAATAGATTCAAGGTAATATTTTATATTTTTTTCATCATTGTTTGCCAACATTCATTTTCATGAAAATTTAAAGCATTAAGCAACTGTCATCGGGACAGACAGGGTTTTGGTAAAACATTTGTCTACCAACAATTTGATGTTGAATTGTTCACTTGCCATCTAGCAAGTTTATGGACTGTTGGCTAACAATGTTGGGACATAAAACCATGACTTCAGGTGGTTAAGATGGTGCTCTCTGACATGTGATTTCTCGATAGTAAAATCACAGTGCAGGAAATCCACATGTAATAGATTTGAGCTACCCACATACATATTTTTTTAATAAAAGGTTTATCTATTGCTTTTATTTTTTAATAAATTTATCACAAAGTTCAGTGAAAAGCATTCTAATTAGTCTTAAAGCAGGCTGAAACACAAGATGTTTTTATCCAAGCTATTCAAGTCCCCTTTGTGATCAAAGTCAAATTTCTCCTTGCAATGCAATTACTAAAACAAGAGAAAAGGTTATGAGAGTTAAGAAAATGATCACATAGCAAAACTGCTTGGATGAAGATTAGTTGGGAGAACTTGTATGTGCATTATGGGTTCTAAAGGGTCAAATCTTGCAGTATCAATACTTAAAGAGCCAGTCTTACCCATGAGGCTTTGCATGCCACTGGGTTTATTGTAACACAAGCACCGGGTGCATTCTAGATGACATTGGCTCTTCAAGAAAACAAATGATGACATTATTTACACACACTATTATGAAACTGACCTCTAGTTTCTATGTTTGAATTTCTGACTTTGTATGAGTAATTGAAATAATGTTTCTTTGTTTTCAAGGTAAACTCCATCACACTGTATTTGGTGAAAGTTAACTTATGTAAGGCATGCATGACTATACTGCTTACATCCAGTGTTCCTTCAGTTTCTCGAGTGAACAATTGACTCCTGTGTGTGCACACCTTTTAAGCAGACACTTGCATCATGCTTTCAGTTACATGTAATCAACTCATAAGCTGATGGTCTCTCATAAGCTGATGGTTAGTGATGATGGTCAGTGGTATTCAACAATCCTCATAAGGAATCAGCTTCAATCCAAAGAGAAAATAAATTTGCCAACTTACTTAAGCGAAAAGAAAGTATTTGCAGTCTGGTTTTAATTAACGATAATAATGCCTAGTGATCAAGTATAGAATAACACATGCAAGTGAAAATCCATTTAAGACATATTTTTGCGACAAATTCCTATTTTGTTTCTTTTTTGGTAATTTAAAATTACTATGACACTGAGGCTGAGGGATTGACTGTAATTGGTATTACTTAAGCAATCCTAAGCTTAGTCTCTAAGGAAGGGGAATGGCAGGAAATTGCTCCATTTGACCAGACTTTAAACATTTTATCAGGTGCCCACGCATTTTTGGAATGTCATACTGAATCATTTTGGGGTCATCCATGAACACAAGGTCTGTAGCATAAGTTATTGAAAACACACCACAGTCAGATCCATTCAGTTGTTTCTGAACAGAGACAACTGAAAGTTTCCTAAACTCATTACCAAGAAGGTCTCGTGGTTGCTCTTCAATGTCATTGCAAATAGCATCATGGAAAAGGCTATCATATAAGTTAACATGGCCCTTAGTACATCCTATTGAGCTCAGCCAAACCCAATGATTGCCTCCAGTGTGTAATAACTGAACAAACTCTCCACCAACAACATCAAAATTTCTGCAAAGACCAAGGGTTGGCCTTTAAAATCCCTCAATGTTGGGATTAATTTTTTTTTAAACAAAGCTGTGCTTGATGTATTATTGCTCCGTCTAACCATCCATGATCCTTAGTGTAGAAGGTGGTCTCGAGCACGAGGTACGACAAAAGATCACACGCTTCCACAGGAGGAAGGCATACTGAAGTATATTTCTGCAGCAGAAAAAGTAAAGGATCGATGCCGATCACTGTGATCTTCTCTATATACCGCTTCTTAATACTACTTTCCAGTGAATCGGCATGATATGTGGACAAATATAATTTTGGAATCTGTGATCACTTTGTCCGAAGACGCATATTTTTCCGCCTCACTGGCCGCCATATTGAAAAAGCACTCCTCCAAGATGGCGGCACCTTGTTTTCGAACACTTTTATGACATCACGCGAACAGACACTAAACAGAGATGATTGGTGCCCTGATCACCAAAACTTAGGTTTTGTCTAGACCCTTTTGCACTGAAGGTCGCATGTAATTGATAACTGCTGTAAGTCTCTTGACTGTAATTTTTATTTTTAAATGTTTTTTCAAATCTTGAATTTGGATTAGAAGTACATGTAGATGTAAGTGACTTAAAAGCTCAAGATACGTAATGTTGCAACCTTTTCTCACTTTCCATTAGATGTACAGAAATGATGCAATGATGGAATGAACTGGTATGATGTCAAAAGTAAAGAAACATGAACCAGTACTCCCAAGGGAGAAGCTGTATGGCTGCAAACAGCATGGAAAGTGTGTCAACCAAGTAGGACATTTGAAAAGTCATTTAAGAGTCTAAACTGGTGAAAAGCCTTATGAATGCAAACAGTGTGGAAAAGCTTTCCACCAAATAGGAAGTCTGAAGAATCATTTAAGGGTCCACACTGGTGAGAAGCTCTATGAATGCAAACAGTGTGGAAAGTGTTTCAGTCAAGGAGGAAATTTGCAGAGACATCAATTAGTTCACACAGGTGAGAAACCTTATGAATGCAAACAGTGTGGAAAGTGCCTCAACCGAGTAGGAAGTTTGAAGGAACATTTAGGAATTCATACTGGCGAAAAGCCTCATGAATGCAAACAGTGTGGCAAGTCCTTTAACCATGCTGGAACTTTGCGGAGACATCAATTGGTTCACACAGGTGAGAAGCCTTATGAATGCAAACAGTGTGGCAAGTCCTTTAACCGCGCTGGAAATCTGCAGAGACATCAATTAGTTCACACAGGTGAAAAGCCTTGTGAATGCAAACAGTGTGGAAAGTGTTTCAACCAAGTAAGAAGTTTGAAGAATCATTTAAGAGTCCACACTGGTGAGAAGCCTTATGAATGCAAACAATGTGGAAAGTGTTTTAGACAAGCAGCACATTTGAATAATCATGGGAGAGTTCACACTAGTGAAAAACCTTATGAATGCAAACAGCGTGGAAAAGGTTTTAAACAAGCAGTACAGTTGAAGGATCATGTAAGAGTCCACACAGGTGAAAAGCCTTATGATTGTAAACAATGTGGGAAGTGTTTCAAGCAAGCTGGAAGTTTAAGGAACCATGTAAAAGTGCACTCAAGTGAGAAGCCTTGTGAATGCAAACAGTTTCTGAAGATTTTTTGCCAAACATCCAACTTTCAAGAACCTGAGCTATGTCATGTGGAATGTTGGATTTGTCAAGAGGAATTATGTAGTCAAGCCCAACTTTTGGAACACTATGATAATCATATGGAATAGAACATTTTAGCTCAATGTTATTTTCTTTAAGCAATGTGAAAACCTGTTAATCGACCACGTCCAGTTGAGTAAAATGCTAATGAAATTTACAGGGGCTTTTAATCAGGAACTGATCAGCTGAGGTAATCTTTGAACAAGTGGGGGTGATTGTCGCAAGATTCTAACCTGCATTGTACGATTTGTCCTGCTTTTAGATAGAGAACTCTTAAAAAATAATGTACCAGCTATGTCCAAGTTCGGTTATGTTTTGTTTTATCAATAGTTGATGTTTTGTTGATGCCTCTCCTTTGGCATCTGTGATCACATCACATTTCAAGGCAAGAATGCCCACCGGTTAATCCCAGAGTCCCTTAGAGACATACAGCATTACTGGATAAAATAACCATGTCACCACAGGTTTGGCCTTTCTTATGTACTCGTTAAGTTAGGAAAGCACTCTTTTCAGTAACAAAGCATTGAATTTGTAATCACAAGAGCCTTTTGTAGCTTTACATGAAGAATGTTCTTGACAGCATTAACTTGCCATAAGCAGACACCAATAGGAAATTGTCTACTGAAGAGAAGTGTATGCCAAATTGAAGTTTAAACAACTGTTAGTATTTGGATGAGGCTCGGACGAAATCGAAGGGTCTAACAAAAGGTGTTCAAATACATGTATAAACAAGAAAACAAAAATCTATCACAGGCAAGATTAGCCGTGATATTTGTCTGTAGATACCAGAGGCTTTTGTATTACCTTATTAAGAATACTGCATGAATCGGTTCTGATTTTGTTATGTTGTAGTTTGCTATAACTATAATGAATAACCTACTTGACTGTATAAAACTGACAGAGAAAATGAGGGGAAATTTTCTCTTGGTCATGTGTACAGTTAGAGTCAAAAAATCAAGTGAAAACATAGACAAGACCCTTTTTAAGGGTTCTTAACCATTTTCCTCTATTAACTATATGGGACTGATAAGAAAAGGCAGCATCAAATTGAAGTTTTCAATGCTTGCAAAATGGATTTTTAGCTATTGACTACTGACAACCAATATGCCATTTAAAAAGACAAGGGAATCTTCCTTTCTGATTTAATTAAAAGAATACTGGCAGCCGGAAATCCTCAAAAATTATTATATACGAATGTGTACATCTGTCGATTTTTAAACTTTTTTATATATAGGTGTGAAGTACTGTGTTCATGAAAGGCTAATGACCTTATATAGCAAAATTATGATTTATTAACTATAAATATTAAATATTACAACTGAAGTTATCACAAGCCCAATGAAGAGGTTTATTTCCATTCTTAGAAGGGCCAGGTGAATTGGAAGTCTCAATGATTGCTGCGAAAGTTCTCACAGTCTACCTAGCTTTTTTTAAAGCAGGCTGAGGAAGTACTTTTTTAATGGAATGTAACTGATTTAAAATGTCAAAGAGCGGGTAGTTCCTATGAAAGTTGACAAAGACGTCTTAAATATTTGTCAGATCATCCTTTGGAATAACCGATTTATTAAAATAGAGGGTTTTTCTGCTTATTTCCCAAGTGGGTTGTTGGAAAAAATGAGCAAAAGTTCTGTACAAGTATTATAATAATTAATTTGCTGAGTATGTTATATTGATATAACATATTACTTTTTGATCAGAAGCAAAAGCAGTATGTGATACAAACAACTTGCCCCTCCACTGGAAAAATTTTTTAACATTTCAACATAGTTGCTATACGATCTTTTTGCCATTGTCACAATTACCATAGCTATGTTTTCCCTTTTTTTGAACAAATATTGAAATGTTTGTGCCAACCCATTGAGTTAAGCTTCCAAAATATGATCTTCACGAAATATAAGTCTTGTCCACATCTACAGCCCAGTTTCACAAGAGCTGAAAATTTTGTCTGTATTCATAATGAATTGTGTTAAACAGTGGTTGTGTTTTAATTTCAGTATCTTCTCCTTCCCTGTATCTGCCGTACAAGTGTGACCCTAGGTAAATAACACAGAATTATTCTAAAAATGAGTCTAGCTTTAACGAAAACCATTTTACAGAACTGCGAACTGTTAGGGAAGGTACATTTTTTCTTGGGGGAGGGAAGGGGAGGGGCTGGGGGATTTTGGTATTTTTTTCCAAAAAAAAAGTGTTGGCCCTCCCTTGCATTATAATAAAAAATCTCCTGCCCCCCACCTTTAGATGACTGACAAAAGTGCAACCCTCCCCTCACTACTTACTACATGGTATGTTCCATGCCGTAGAAACTTCAGAACATTTCGCTTGTGAACGCAAAATGTTTGAATGTAAATATATCAAATGTGTGAGCTGAAACAGTGTGGGATGTCTACGTTTTATGGCTGAAGTTTGAATATGGAAGTATAAACTTTGAGTATTATTAAAGTTTTGAACATAAAATATCGAAGGGAAAATGCACAGGCTTCCTTCTCCGATGGTCAGCATTGCTGTTGGTCATTTTAATAAAAAGGTTTGTTTTATAGAACGTGAAATCTGACTCTCAAAAACAAATATTTCCTACATTTCCGAATTCTGTTAAAGGCAGGCATGCCATGTCATAATATACATGTAGAAATGTAACCTAGAACCTATAATAAAACACCAAATTAAATGAAAGTAGGTGAAAAGAAAAACTTAATCTGTAAGAAAAATGGAAAACAACATCACAAAAATCTTCATTGAAAAAATCTGGAAAAGATCTGTGACACTACCCTTGAATAGCTTACAAAGAGGTATGACCCTCCCCTTTTTGTGCTCACTTTCACTAATGACCCTCCCCTCTGAGGCCCCAGCCCTCTCCCCCAAGAAAAAAAAACGTACCTTCCCTAACTGTAAAAAAAAAAATAAAATAACAACACCTGACATTCACAAACACATCTTTTACCCATTTGTGTCGTAAATCGAGTTTTGTCCAGTCGTCCTTGAATCCAATCCAACTTCCAATGGTTACTTCCAGGCTTTCTTCCGCGAGAAGACTGGGAGCTACTGAAAGATTGCGCGCTACAACGCGCGCCAGTAGTTTGATTGCCTAACCGAATTTCAGGATCGAGTTATCCTTGAGAAGGTAAGAAGACGTTAAGAATCAGTACCTTGCAGGTAGATTTTATTTTGATGCTAGGGATTCTAACCAAGTAACGGGTGAACTGGTTTTGATAAGCTGTTGTAATTCAACTGTCTCCTCCGATATCGCAGTAACCGGTCGTTTTGCCTCCGAGTTGTTTCGCTGATTATAGCTGTACACATGTATGCTTGAATTTAACTGTATTTACATTGTTTGAAAGCGAAATGTGTTGTTTCCTTGGTCGGTTACGGTCAGCATATCCACTGCATCCTTGGAGGAGTCGAAGGAGGCTATATATCTCCTCTGAACTGGTTATCATAATGAGCTCCTTTCCATTGTATTGGGGTCTGCCAAATCTGCGAGCCAGCGAGCCATGTCGCGAGCCATGGCCATACGAGCCATGCGAGTCATTTGCGTGCCATGCGAGTTATGCGAGTCATTCTGCGAGTATTTTTTTTCTTCGATTCGTTTGGGAGGTCGTCGATCATTTCATCAACAAACATCTCGGGCCCGACTTTCGCTATAAACCGCTCGCCCGCCATCTTGAAAGCAGAGATGACCCCGGGGGCGAGTACAAACGGTACAACCTCGCTGCCAGGGTACTCCCTCTTTCCCTGGGAAATTCATTTTAAATTTAGCTACAAAAGTGCCAAAAATTGAAATATTCCCAGAAAAAATCCTAATCTCGCTTCGGTTGCCAGAACTATTGCTGGTGCGTCAAACATGAAGTATGCATTAAGCATCTGTACAGCATGCCAAGTTTTCGTCATAGTAATGGCTGAGCTGGACAAATTTTTGTCTGTGTTTCATATTTTTGTTATTTGGAGAAAATTTTGTCCATTCAAATCGCTCAAGATCCACAAAAACTGAAAACAATGTGACAAAAATTTATTAAGGTTCAAGACTTAAGTAAAAAAATTTCCTGAGAGAAATGCACCGCTCCACCTCTACTTGAATGGGAACTTGAATGGTATCCATTGACACCTGTCATTCATTGATATCCACATGGAAAAATCATTCAAGAAAAAAGAGAACATTACTTCCAACTCCGTGTATTGGTGTCAAGAATGGTGAGTAAATCATGTAATTTTAACAGGTTCACTCCTTACAAGATTGGAATGACATTAACAACCAAATCCTGACATGGCAATAAGTGAAAAACTAAAAAAACGATCGCAGTTTAGTGTAGTTATTTCTACCTTGTTTGATTATCGCTAAAGAGCTCTTCTCTGCACCTGGAAAATTTTTTTACCAATCAATGGGCTCTCAAAAAATCTTTCTATTTGAGATTCAAATGTGCTCAGGTTTGATATTCACAATGTTTACAAACACTTTCCCTTTAAAAATACCCAACTGAAGGCAACGAAAGTTTTCAGTTCATTGTGAAGCATTTAAAAATAAAATTACAAATAAAATTTGTAGCTATTTTTTTTTTTTCAGCTTGGCTTCTGATTGGGTGATTCAAAAAACATTCTTAGTGATGGTTTGTGTAGTGGCAACCAGAATTTAATATTGCGATATTATTCATCTTGTTCCATTACTCTTGTCCTGGCTCTCATGTGAATATAAATGTACCAAATAAAAGTTCTTAACATTTGTACTGTGGCTCTCCTGGCTCACATGATTCACATGGCTCACCCCTTGGCTTGCATGGCTCGCTGGCTTGCAGATTTCTACAACTTGTTTCCGCTTTGTTTTAAGGTGGCTCAAAACAGTTTTCTGTTTTTTTGAGACTTTTAGAACTAGGTGCGATTTTTCAGGCTTGGAACCGTACTGTTTTGAGGGGCTATGCCATTTTTTAAATTAACTCTCCACTGTACCTTACATTGTGTTTAAGACATAAATTAAGTTTGCTCTGTTCTGTTGTGTAGCAACAAACTTGACCCACTTTTCACCATCAATTGGATCTATCTTAAAAACTAAGCCATTGACCTCATATTGTTTTTTATAGAAATCTTTTTATTACACACAGAAGAAGAAAAGGGAAAATTAGAAAGAATTCTGTGGAATAGATTTTGCTTAAATTAAAAACAATGGAAATTTCAAGATTGGAAAAATTCCACTCCACAGATTTTTTACAATTTCGCACATGCATTCTGCTTTTGCTGTCGAATAATTTTTTGCATTAAAAAAGTGTGGTCACTGGAACAGTTTTTGAGATATTAGCATCGTGGATAAGGAATATTTAGGGCACATTGTATGCGCAAATTAAAATCTAGACTTTGCAAGATCGTACTATGCGCACGCGTGAAGGCAGTCCACTGCTCAGTAAAGTCCGCAATTCCATGCCAATAAACATGAATACCCGTGAATGGTGTTATCTTTTTTGCTGTTGTCGTTAGCAGCATAAGTGGTAGAAGAAGAGTACCATAAATACCCACAGAGGAGGCTGGCCTAGTAAAAAGAACGAAGAAAACTTGAAGAGTAGTTTTTGTAACGTTGCGTAATTAGAACGTTGTATATAACGTCATAAAGCTAATTTGTAATAGTGCTAACCGGACGACTCATGAGAAACTACAATATGCCACTGGGTAAGAAACTTTGAACTATTACTTTTTGAGTCTTTCATTGTACTAATACAAATTTATGTGAACAGATTTTGAACGTTAACTCTCCCACTCCGGTGTTACATATTGGTAAATAAATGGAGATGTTTAAAACCATGGTGAAAAAGTATTCGAGTCAGCGCTAGCGCTACAGTTTTTTCCTTCTGTTTTTAAGATTGGTAGCCGGCGCGATCGTAACATCAACATTGCAATTTTCATTTACGTTCCAGCACAGTGGTTTAAAAGAATGTTTTTTCATTTGAAATTGCCTCAAGGATGGATGTTTTTAAAGGTAAAAATAAGCGATATCACAAACAGCTCACTAAACTTGGCAGAATCAAAGTTTTACTGAGTAGGCCTAGCACCACCATGTTTGTTGTGAGTTTTCCAAACTTTAAATCTTGCACGCCATCTTGTAACCCCTCGGGTGGTTGCGTGATGCCTCGCGGTGAAGTGCGTGTGAGAGCCCAGGCTTCTCACGGAAATTTTACTGTTGTGAGCCACCTTAAATGGAATCTTGCCTGTTTGGCTCCAAAATATAGTTTGTGTGTGTCTTTAATGGTCCTTGGGTTTTAAGTCAATATCAATTGAGAGCGGGTGGAAAACTTGGAACGTGCAATTTGATAACCTAACTGGGCAGAAACAAGTTATCATCAAGCTAAAATTTACGTGGCCAGTCATCTTGACCAGCAAGCAAGGGTCATTTATTCCAGTCCTGCTTTCTTGATATGACATATTACCATGGCAACAGTATGACCTTTTGAAAACACCCCTAATTTCAGTTACAAGTGCTGACAACTCTTAAACTAATTTGGTGATGCACATTTTTAAGGAGTTATAGCTTTTTGACACACCTTAGCATTAAAGATTACTTTCTTAACTCTCTGAACCATTATTTTTATTTTTAAATTTTTATTTCAAATCTGGAATTTGGAACAAGGCTGTGGTCTAAGAAACATTATGAGGAACCCAAACGCTCCAAACCATGAAATCCTGGGTGCCCAGCACTTAAGCTTATCCTTATATGAAAAAAAGTAGGTTTTTCCAGTCGCCCAAAGGCAAAAGTTTGTTCCATGTGGCAGCCAAGCGTCTTAAGAGCACAGCCCTGTGGAAGTACATGTACAGGTACTGTTAAGTGTCTTAAAAGCTGCAGATATCTAATGTTGCAACTTTCTCACTTTCCATTAGATGTACAGAAATGATGGAAATTATGATGGAATGAACTGGTATGATGTCAAAAGTAAAGAAACATGAACCAGTACACCCAAGGGAAAAGACTTATGAATGCAAACAGTGTGGAAAGTGTTTCAACCAAGTAAGAAGTTTGAAGAATCATGTAAGAGTCCAGACTGGTGAGAATCCTTACGAGTGCAAACATTGTGGAAAGTCCTTTAACCAAGCTGGAACTATGTGGAGACATCAATTCGTTCACACAGGTGAGAAGCCTTATGAATGCAAACAATGTGGAAAGTGTTTCAAGGATGTAAAAAGCCTGCAGACACATAAATTAGTTCACACAGGTGAAAAGCCTAATGAATCCAAACAGTGTGGAAAGTCCTTTAACCAAGCTAGAACTTTGCGGACACATCAATTAATTCACACAGGTGAGAAGCCTTCTGAATGCAAACAGTGTGGAAAGTCCTTTAACCACGCTGGAAATTTGCAGAGACATCAATTAATTCACACAGGTGAGAAGCCTTATGAATGCAAACAGTGTGGAAAGTCCTTTAACCAA